TTCAGCATTACATATGCGCCTCACCACCAGATACACACATAAATTTCTAACTATATTATACAAATAATGCTAAATGTCTCCATTTATATATGTCGTAAGCTCTGTGGCATGGGCGAAAAAGGGCACTTCTCACCCCCCAAAAGATGCCCCGTTCTGTCGCATTTTATTGCCAATTCCCATCCCCACACAAACACACATACACACTCACTCACACCACTGTGCATTTGTATGCAGATTGTGCAATCTTCATGGCTGATGTTCTCCAAACTACTTGCAAATCCCCAACTATTCTATATCGTTCAATTTAATACACCCAATTGTATGACTTTCTCACTGTCTCTCACATAAAATCCCCCGCCAACAAAGTGCTCCAATGTGTTTATTTGCACAAAAGAAGAAGCATTCGTAGATTAGTTGGAGGAAAATTGCTAGAATAAATGTATGCTGAGGTAAATAAACTGGCGCTATAGACGCCACACTTTTCTTATTCCATCACCCATGAGTCATCCAGCAAATACCAATTGTGTTACAATTTCGAAAATTACACATTGTTAAATTAACTTCAACATAGCATACATATATATGGCATTTGCACGCGCGTTCCTTTTCAAAGTTTCACAAACTTATACATAGACAGAAGTTGTTTTGTGTTACAAAAGAAAATGATGAAGATACTTTCACTTTTTTATTTTGAATTTCTTCTCTCGCTCTTTCTCCACCGTCATAAAATATTTCGGATTACATTGTGGATGCTTTTCTACACCATAAAGAAAAGTGTATGATAAGCACATGGCTTTACTTAGTTTTCTCAGGCTATAGAATAAGGGAAAATGTCAATTTTCATATGAAATAAACTTCTAATGATGCCTAGAAAAACATTTCAGAGTGATTTTCTACAAATTTTTGGGAATTCTTCAACCATATGGATAATTTTTGTATTCTTTCGACTGACAACACTCAATTTGTCCATCATTTTTCACCCCTTCACCAACCAAAACACCCACACAGACATTGTTGAGAATTTATGTCAGTTCCTTCATGGCATTTTCTGTCTCAAGAAGGACACAAAACATCACTCTTCTCAAATCCATGACAAAATATAGATAATAATGTGTGTCGAGTTCCCTAAACTACGCACAATATCGTTTGATTTTACTATAAATAGAGAAAATCAATTGCACTCCTATGTAATCGTATATCGGATAAGTTGTCAAGCACATAAGGCAAGCGTGTATCCACAATTTGGTGTACATAGAGAGCGACAGGGTGTGAGAATACACCCTCTCTCGCACTCCAACATCATTTATTGCTACATGCGATGCTGCTACCTTCCTCTTCAGTTCGCCACTCATGGCGTTTCGCCCCAAAGCATCCACCCTAATTAGCCCATTTAAAGCCAGACAATGTGCATAACAATGTTTGACCATTATGTTTGAGTACAAACACTTACAAACTACACATATTCCCAGTTGTAGAATCCACAAGCTCTTCCTCTTCGCCGCCCACTCGCCACCCTCCTCGCCCTTCTCGCTGGCACGCAGATCGCATGTAATATGCAATCATTATATACACATCAGATTATGTACAGTGCAATTGAGAGCATTCGAGGGTGAGACCGACGACTAAGGAATAGACAGTTGGCGGGGGTGGAAGTGTACTTGCGGCAACACGAAGCCCTCACTCTTCGTTGGACTACAGTGAATAGTACAAGTGTAAGATTATGCACAGAGAGATGGAATGAGGCCTGGAATTTACAGTGTTCCACATACCGAACATATAATGTACATAATTGGTATATATTCAATAACACATCATCATTCCCTTTTCCATCTGACCCTCTCTCTCTCTCTCTGTCTCCTCAATTGATTATGCCCACTGAGAGGAGAATTATCTCAACACAACCTGTCTCTCATAAACTGTCTTATCGCATATCAAAAGCTGTGGCTTATTAGGTGGACAAATCACGTGAGGCACATTGTGTGAAGGATATAAGCGAAGGGTCACTATGTGGTCATACACAAATTCCCGGTCAGTGCTGAGGGTTCGTAAATAAAGACGCTAAACGCAAGACAACAGAGAGCAGAAGAAAAGAAGACCCTGTGCATCCCAATAAATTAGACAGGTAGAGAAACACACACAAACACACACACACATACTCACATACACGAGAATTAGATGGAGCAGGAAAAACAGGATGCTTTCTCATATAGTTGAATGGATGAGAGAAAGAGAACAGAAAAACCGTACACGTGAAAAACAAATTGAGTCTCACACAACAATGATTTAAAAGGCATTTGGCATTCACTGACCTACTCAACAATTCACAGGATCCACTGGAGGATTTTATAGTATTGAAGAGAGCATTAACTCCGCCATACCGTGTGTACATATACAGCTATATATGATGAGGGAACATAAAACCCCAGGAGGGTTGATAAAACCATCCCCCCGGGGAATCTTCGCCATCAGCATATTATGCAAATACATTCTCATGCACAAACACATTTGCTTTATTGATTGACTTCACTCTCTCTCACTCTCTCTCTGAGAACAAATCACACACAATTTCCGCCACCACCCAGCTTCTGCCGCCCACGCATCCCAACATCTCAAGAAGCGCCCCAATGAGATGGGTAAACCTCATTATGCACTGTTCTCCAACGCCCCAAACATCCAATCCAAAATACATCGCCCAACAGGACACGACGCAACTACAGCACGGCATTTGTGGCAATCCAATATGCATTAAAGTTCGCAGATTGATAAAATTGATGTCGCCCAAATTAAGCTCAACACGAAACAGCCGCAAAAACGTGACTTTACCGTCAAAATTTGCTTATCACCGAAAAAACATTTCACGTAACGCACGTTGAAGCGTGCAAAAAAAGCCCCCGACACGGGTGTGATTTCAAACTTCTGGTACTAATCATTGAAAGAAGATCTGCATTGTGAGGTGAGAGGTCAGAAATTGCCCGAAAACTTTTTGCTCCAGCGCATTTTGCCCCGAGAACATCTTCAGGTGAGGTGCTTTAGAGTCTTGTCACGTCTTTTAAAAATGCTACACTGTGTACAACACTCGTAGTGTTTTGGTGGAAAAGTAAACACAACAGCAAGTATCTCTATACTAAATGAAATGCCACGAGAAATATCAGCAAGTTTTTCAACAGATCTTCCATTCATAAATTGCACGAAGAAAATCTCTCGGCAGAAGTGAAGAATCAGTCAAGAAGCCAATAATAGGCGAACAACCGAAGTTTATTTTCATTTGCTCTAAACCAAAGCGTATAAAACTATAAGTTTTCCGCAAAATAATGAGATAAACAGACAAGATCTGCAAGCTGTATAAGAAATTTTCAATCTATTCACCATGAAAAGAAAATCTAAACATAGGAAATATGATCTTATTGAGGTAAATTCATTAAAAAGCCATTTCCAATACTCAAAAACCCCGAAGCGACTTCTAAAATATCCAAGATTTTGATGTACTGTTTATTGAATAAAAGGAATGTTACAGATGTAATTGACTTTAGATGACTTTTACTGTGAGTTCAGTAATTTATTCAATTCCAAAATCCAGAAATAGAGTTAAAGTTTTGAAAGGATTATTTTTGAAATCTACTTTTCGCCTTAAAAGTTATTTTGCAGTCATTTGAATGGACGTCCCTCGACATAAATTCACCATAAACACATTTTCTAAATAAGAATGCATGAGTGAGAGGAATTTCTGCGCCAGAATACATCTATTATTGATTTCCTCCATAGTAAAATAATGCATCCTCCATTCAATTCCATCTGCACACTTCAGTCCATTGAGCGGACACAGAGTTGATATACGCATATCAAACAGAGAGTGCAATAAAGTGAAAAAAGCACGGGAATAAGAGACAAGCAATCTATAAACTCTCGGTGAAATGAAATAAAACCCACAATTGAGCGCGGCATCGATGGCCTTTAAGTGCAATGAACTGAACTGACAACATCACGTTTTATTTACAATTTTTATCGAAAACTAATCAATATTTTGTACTTACACGATACTCCTAGTATAACACACAACATTACATAACGAGAGGGAGAATACATACGCGACTGACGTCTGACAGATGATGATAAATAATACACCTCTCATTCTTTGGGGCGCTTCAGCAGCACAAATCAACTCGAAAAAATCTCTCGTATTCGATTGTGATTAGTTGGGAGGTAAAGCAAAAAGAAGAAAAAAGCTCCGAGGGAAAAAAGGCAATTTCGAGAAATCTCTCTCTCTCTCTATCTTTGCATCTCACAAAATCCATAAATGATGCCATTTCACCTTCTCAACCATCATTCTCTCTCTCCTAAACCTTCATATATGCACGATGATGTTGTGTGATTCACAGAAATTTATATGGAAATGAACATTGTACGCACATAAATAAAGTGGAGTCAGCGAAGAGAGCGAGAGAAAAAAATCCACACGTGTATTTTTTTCCTGAGGAACAACACCGCACACAAAATGCGCGGGAACAGCTGGCAATCTAATCTAAATTGCCCAACTTTTTCTGCACGAAGCGCGAATCCCGCTCTCATCGTCATTTTCACGCAAACACACACACGCACTTGCCGAGTGAGAAGTGCATTGGCAAAAGAGGCGCTCGCAATGACCAAAAAACCCACCTACGCAACACAATTAAAATTAACCTTTTGCCACCCTCTTTCGTCCTTTCCACATCTCTGCACCAGCTCTATATTGCGCCCCTTCCCTCCACCCCCTGAGAATGAGAGTGTAATTCACAAAATTTGGAAAGTTGTGTTTTCACCCCTTTTGGCGCGCGATGGTGTGAGAGTAAATTAAGAAGGGAATCTCAGATGTGGAGAAAACACGGGCGAGAGAACGATAATTATTTCTCTCAACACCACTTTGGCATGACGTTAATAGTTTCCTGACCTCTCACAATTTCCCGATGGTCTTTCACCCACTTCCCACACTCCCACGCACACTTTCAGCACTTGCGGACACTTACCGGCGGCGGTGGCCTGTAGGGTTGCGCCGGCCCGCCCATCTGCGGGCTGTAGGGCCGCGGCGGCGGAGCCCATCCCTGCGCCTGGTGCGGCCCGTAAGGCGATTGTGGCGGCGGCGGAGGCGGCTGGTGGTCATAGCTGTTGGGATAGCCTCCGCGGTGCTGTGGCGGCGGATGGGACTGCAGCAGGCTATTCAGCGTGGGCGTGGGACCCTGTGGCGGCTGCCCAGGCGCCACTTGCGCGCCCGGCGGCGTCCCGGGCGCCGGAGAGGGCATGTAGCGCTGCGGCGGCCGACTCGGCGGCACCATCGTGGGCTTGCCGCCGCTCACGACGCGATAGTGGCCGTACGGATCGGCCTGCGGAATGACATTGGGATCGTGGTAGCGCTGCTGCTGCTGATACTGCCCCGGATGGCCGGGATACAGACCGGCGGCCTCCTCCTTGCCGCCCATGAGGCCGTCGGGCGGTGGCGGCGGCGGCGGGCCCGGCGGGGGCGCCTGCCCGGGCGGCATGCCGTGACCGGGCGGCTCGTTGTACGGATGATGGTGTGGCGGCATCGCGGACGGATCCATTGGCGGTCCGTTGCCCGGCGGCGACTTCACCTTCTGCTGCTGACTCTGTTGTGGATCATTCATGCCGCCCGGTGGACGATGTGGCTGCTGGAGATTATGCTGTTGCACTTGGTGGTGATGCGGTTGCGTCTGCTGCGGCGGTCCACCATTTCCGGCCATGTTTGCCCTCTCGCTGCCATTCTGCAAGCATTTCGGGGGAAAGGGGCTCTCAATTTACTGCGCCACACTTGCTGGGGACATCCCCTGAGCGCCTCTTCCACTACCGTTCACCACTTCTCCGGTCGTCTCTTCGATCTACTCAAAAATACCGTGCGGTTCTTTAACTGCCCGTGAAAGCGCGCGACAAAGAAAAGGCGAACGGAAGTGGATTTTTGTTTTTCTCAGTCGAACTGAGAGAAAAGACAGCAGAAATCGGCGCTCAGGTGAGGTGGAAGGCAAGAAAAAGCGAGCATGTACCAAGAGAACAGGAAATAGGAATCGTCTCGCAGAAGATGATCTCACAGTCTTTCTTCGGCAGTTTCGGCGTCACACAAACACTTCTTGGATCACTAGAGTCCACAGTCCTTTAAAACGTCCTTAACAGCACAATTAGCACAAGAGCATCCAACGCGTACACTTGGCACTTTTACCGGTTGTCTCTCGAGCGAGAAAAAAGCACAATATCTCTGAGTGTGTTCGAGAGGCGCGCGCGTCCGGATCCGCAAGTTTGTCTTCTCTCAAATCCACGGTCGCTCCTCTGCCTCTCCTTCGCGGCGGAGAAGCACGAAAAAGCACACGGAATAATGACTATTTTGTTGATGATCGACGTCGCTCGCGTCGTGGAAAAGTGGCAAAATGCCGGCTGGCTGTGTGTTGGGCTGCCCTGTGTTGGTGGTGAGATTTGCGCGGCTGTGTAGAGACTCTCTCTCGCAGCCCGAGCGAAACCAACACCCAGAGTGTCCGGGGCGCCTCTTGTACGGCGTATGGCCCCACGGGGGCCCTGCAGCCACGATCGGCGACTCCTCAAGCCCACGCGGCGTGGGGCGCTGTGCTCCTGGTGTGGGGCGGAAGCCAAAGGGGGCGCGCGCTGGACTTCCCGAGAAATCTCGCGCGGAACAAAGAACAGACACACACAATTTCTGGCCACTTTTTCGCCCTCCTGCGCTCAAAATCCACTTGCACCCTCACCCAATTCTCACACGACAGCACCCGCGTTGGCAATTTCACCCATTTTTGCACCCGACATCGTCTCCGGAGACGAAATATAGCTTCACAGAACTTCACCAGTCTACAGTGGCGCGTCGGACGCGCATTTCTCGCCACTTCTCACGCACTCTCGCATCGCGGACGCCCCGAAAGCAGCGTCAATCAACCTCACGCGTCTCCTAAATACCTTTTCCCGCAATTCACATCAATTAAAACACTGGAATTTTCAACTTTTTCACGGAGCCGCGGTGAGTGACGCCGATTTAGAAAGAGCCAGTGGTGAAATATTGTAAAAGGTGGGGAAAACGCAGCTTCGGCGGCCACTCGTTCGCCACTCGCGCCCTTTCGCGCCGCGCTCTTTTCTCACCACTCGCCGCCATTTTTGAGGTACCAGAACCCGGCCTTCCAGTACCACACTCGCCTCCAGGCGGGATCTTCAACTTCTTTGCCCACTTCCGGAGCAGCGCACACAGTGAAACTCTCCCATTTTATTAGGATTTTTTTTTATTAAATTCAGTATCATTAAGTACACAAATCACAAATTGGCAAATAATGGAGCCAACTGTGGAAGAAAATGGCCGTTTGTCGTCATGTCTCTCAATGGATAAATAGATGTAAAATTCGATTGCACGGAGAAACGGTTAAATCCGGGGGTTAAGGGTCAATCAGGGTGAGAGAGAGAGAGAGTTCATCAGGAAGAGCCAAATTCCCGCATCCACTGCTCATACTTCTCCAAGTCATGCTTCGACACGCTCTTGTTGCATTTGCTGATGGCCTCTATGAAGTCCTTCGTGGACACTGGCAAATCCACCTCCTCCTTGGCCAGCAACTTGATCTGCTCCGGCTTCAGCCCGGCAATCTTCCGGCGCATGGACATCATGCTGGCATCTCTGCAGAAAGAGAAAGACGGCCAATTATGGGACACAGATTCTCTTGTGAGGCTGAATTTGTCTTATTTGCCTCTGATAAGAACTTGAATCTAATAGATTTCTTCAAGAATAATCAAATTGCAGAAGACCGAGTGACTCATGATGAAATCTCACCTGCAAACATTGGTGATATCAGCTCCCGAGTAGCCCTGCAACTTCCTGGCGATGCTCTTCAGATCCACAGACGGATCCAGCTGCACTTCGCGCAAATTGATCTTCAGCAGCGCCTCGCGGCCATCGTCATTGGGCAGCGGAATATAGATGCGCTTCTCCAGACGCCGCCGCAGCGCCTCGTCAATGTCCCAGGGAAAGTTCGTGGCCGCCAAAACCATCACAACCTTTGTCGCCTCGTCGCTACTGATGCCGTCCATCTGCACCAGCAGCTCCGACTTCACCCGTCGCGACGCCTCGTGCTCCGACTCTGAGCCCCTGCGCGAGCACAGCGAGTCAATCTCGTCGATGAAGATCGTGCTGGGCGCATAGAAGCGCGCCATCTCAAACAGCAGACGCACCAGCTTCTCGGACTCGCCGCGATACTTGGACGTGAGTGTGGAGGAGGACACGTTGAAGAACGTCGTGCCGCACTCCGTGGCCACGGCCTTGGCCAGCATGGTCTTCCCGGTGCCGGGCGGTCCCACCATCAGGACGCCCTTCCAAGGCCGCCGGATGCCCTTGAAGTAGTCCGGCATCCACATGGGCAGCACCACGGCCTCCTCGAGCAGCCGCTTCGCCTCCACCAGATCGGCGATGTCATCCCACCGGATGTTGGGGTTCTTCTGCAGAATGTCCCGCTCCAGCATGTCCACGAGATCCACATCGGCGTGACTGGCCGGCTCGAATTTGCGCTCCTCCTCTGGTGGCTCCTCCTCTTTCGCCTCCTCATCTGGGCTCTTGTCGCTCTTCTCCCCTTTGTCGCCCTTGTCCGCTGGGTTTCCAGTCGCCCGGCGACTCTCCTTGCCCGCCAACTTCCCGTTCACACCCTTTCCAGCACCGCCCTTCGCCTCCTGGCCCTTCTTGGCGGTCGTTCCCGGCCGCGACATTGTCTTGCGCGACGTTTCCGGCTTCCTTCCCTTCTGCTGCTGTCGCGACTGACCGCCGGATCTGTAGAAATTTCACGCAATACTTGATTAGACAAATTCTCCGCAATACAACTCTGGTGGCAAATGTTGATTTAACAGCCACGATTGCCACTTCAAGGTTGACTGAGTCTCGCGCGATCGCGGAGTGCAATCTCATTAGAATATCTCAGGAGAGACAGAGCGAAAGAGACGAGGCGGAAATACATTTGGGCCCCTTTTCCGAACCCTCGTGATGTGATTCAGTCCATTTGATTAATTTGTTCCCCAATATGAAGGAATAAGAGGCTATTTTTGATTAATACTAGCCAAGTCAAAGATTTTTGAAAAAATTTGACTGAGATGCTAAGTCTTCAGTCGCATCTGAAACGCTCTTTCTCCTCAATGTAAATATACCTGGAGTCCAGAGGCGATGGTGGCGGCCAGACGTCCGGATCACGGTGAGACGGAGGCATCCAGATGTCCGGATCCGGGCGAAACCACGACGCCGGATCCTTGGCCGCCACCTCAGTCGTTGGCACACGCAGCTTTGTCTTCAGTGGCGTGTTCTGCAGATCGATGCTTATCTCTGTCAGCGTCCTCTGGATGGACTTCACCTCGCTGTACTCCTTCGACAGCTGCTGCTGGATCTGCAAACAAAGGGAGAGTGCTTATCAGCGCGCGCGCGCGTCGGGGAGAAGGTCAATGCCTCACCAGAGTCCACTTGCCCTTGCGCACGGGATCGGCCAGGCCCAGCACGAGCTGCTGCACCATCTGCAGGACGCCCTCGTAGTAAATCCCTGCGGAGTCGTAGTTGCCAATCAGTGCCATCTCACGGGCCAGTTTCGCGTTATCGCTGATCTCCGACGCTGAAACTGCTGCCATCACGGTCATTCCTGTGCCGGGAGAGCGCAGATCTGCAAGAAACACCACCTGAGATCGGAGGAATGTCTGTCATCTCTCTTTTCGCGTGCTTTTTTGTGCTCCTCATCTGTCGTGAATAATGAGACGCCCACCGAAATTCCGCCTCCCACCGAAACGCGATCGCACGTCCAACAATCGTAACTTGTAATTTTGCCAGTGCAACAATGAAGTCTGGCCGAAGTCCCCGCACTCAGCCATGTTCCGGGGAGACACGCGAAGCGACAAGCTCGCCATTCCTCGAGGTAGTGATGTGGAAAATCGAGTCGCACCGGATGAGGAATTAATACCATCCGCGAGGCTGTTTTCCTCATACTCAGCGACATTGAAGTCGCCCGACATTGACTGTCAAATAAATCCCCATTTTTGGGCAAACACACACTCCCGGACTCGCAGCCTCTCGGACCATCGCGCTTTTCTGCCATTCACGCAATTTCCCTCACGCCCACCCGCAAACTCTTGTCCGCACGCCGTGCAGAACGCAGTGGAGATGACTTTTTTGCAATTTACCTACCAGTTGCCAATTACTTTTATCAATAATTCCACAAACACGCACGGCCAGCTGCAATTTTGCCTCGCACTGACATCGCTCGCGATTGACACTGCGAAAGGCCGATTATCTGAGCAATATATCGCGTAATTCCTGAGCAAACTGCTGGCGGCGCTGCGCTAGCCGAGAAATGAACCCGGGAATTGCTCAAATTACACTACAAGAAGTACACCGGAAAGTAAACGGAATCTTTGTAAGAAAATCAATTTCACAAGTATTTTCCAGATTATTTTCTCGTGTATCAAGATAAGTTTGCTGTGGGATAAAAAAGCTTACGAATTAAAAAAAAATTCAAGGGATAATAAAAATTTCGTATTTTCAGATCTTCCGAAATTCGATTAAGAATCATCCCTCAAACGCCTTTATGCTAAAAATCGAATAATAAACCGCGAGAGCAAACGCCCCTCGGCGCACTCTGTGGCCCTTTGCCTTTTTTTGCAGTGTAGCGCCTGACAGTTGCAGAGCAACCCGAAAAGTGAGCAAAAAATTTTTCAATTGTCACCATCGCTCTCCATTAGTTTTCTCATTCGTTTGTTCGTTTCTGTGGTGCAAGAAGGAAAAGTCGAAAAAGTACCGCAAAATCACACAAATCGTATCGTAGAACATCCATCAATTCACACACACAGCCGTTCGTGGAATTTACATTGCGATCACCTCTGTTTTCCGCGGAACACTCGCTGTCTTCTCTTTGTTCCCGTTCGTCGTTTTCCCACAAAAAAAAACAGGCACACGCAAAAGAGAGAGGGCCGAAGGCGAACAATAGTGCATTAGCGTTTGGAATCATCTGCTCAATTAGGAGTGAAAACTAATTAGTTGCTTCATCTCGACATTTCGCGCGAGCTTTACGATGACTGGCGCAGTTTTTTAGCACCTAAACAAATAAGTCTGGTAAGTCCAACATTGTCGTATTGATTTTCTTTTCCACCCTCGGCGACCGTGAAAAGCGCTGCTATTTTCGTCTCGGGGCCCCAGAGTCTCGCTGAAGGGGCGTCCGGACGCTGGGAGGGCGGGAAGTGGGCGGATATGGCCCATGTGCCCGAGACTGGAGCCCCGCTACGGGGCTCCGGAGAGTGGCTAGAGGTCAGGCAGTGTCCAGACGAGCTGCCGCCAGAAGCTCCCTCTCCCGCGAGGCCCAGGGAGTCACTCACCTCTGCCGAACAGCCCAGAGAGTCGAAGCTCACGCGCGGATTCCACAGAAAGACATCAGACACTATCGCTGGCGCCTCAGCGAGTCTCGCGTCTGATCTTGTGAATTTGCGAGCGCGTATTGCAAAAGAATGGGCAGAGGAGAGGCGGAGAAATTGAGGAAAGAGTGTGGCAAAGAATGGTGAGGAAGTGGCGCCACGAAGACTCCCAAGAATACCCACCAATTCTCTCTATTATACACACTATTGTGTCTAGTTTCATTTTATTTCATCTCCGCCACGAATGCAAAGTCACAGCTATTGAGATTGTGTGGCGAAGGTTTGCTGAAATTGCTTCTTTTTCATTAAGCAAATTGCTCAGCTTAGTGCAATAAATCACTTCTTTCTGGAGCCGTCTCAAAGTAATTTTTTGCGTTTTCTGGTTGCTTTTGCTGAATACCAAGAAATTTCTTTCGTTTTTTGACCCCATTTCTATCAATATCAACAGCAAAACTATTTAATCGAACTCAAAAATAACCATTTTCTGCATTATTAAAATTCTTTGTGACTCTGTAAAGCAAATTTACTGTATATAAATTTATAGAATTCATGAGTCAAATTAAAAATAAATTGCAGTAATCATTGTAGCGCTTTTGAAATCGTTGTTTCGAGAAAATGGATAATTTCTGTAGAGAAGAAAAATCCTCTTCAAAGCCCAAATTTCCATGGATTCGTCCAACTTTAACTATATCAAACTTCCTGCAATCCTTCAGAGACTTGGAGAAGATCATGAATATCCTTTACAACGCCCTTGAAGAAATTACCGACGTTTTCAAAGCTTTGAGTGAAGATGTGACAAAAAATTATCTACAATTCTTGAAGAATAATCAACTTTTGATGGCAATGGGGAAATATTTGCAAGATATGTCTTCGTGGATGGAAGAATTGGCAAATCTTCTGGATACTGTTAATATTTCTTTGGGTCATTTGGAGAGAAATATAAAGATTCTCGAAAGAAAACTTCCACCGATGACGAATTTGGCAAAAGATGATTCTCGAACTCTCATGTACAAATCATTGCTGAGTGTGGTTGAGCGCCTTAACGTCAACAAGGAGTTCTTGCGTGAGATAAATCAAGAGGTTCAGCTTGCAAATGACGCTACTGATATTCCAGACGGCTTGGCAAAGCTGCTCTTTCATCATGTGGCAATTCTGGAGAATGTGGCGAAGAGGCTTGACGAAATGACGAGACTTGGGGAGGAAAATCAGACAAAATTGGACACCATAAACCTTGTAAACTTTGAAAAGCCATAGAATCCGAGATTGTGCAGTAAATCCTGTGTCTTCATTAGCAATCTCTGGTCGTTTTTCGTGCGATCGAGTCGAGTGGCGGCGGGAGGATTGCCCGGAGGACGGCAAATAGGGTGGAAAAGCGAGGACACGAGTGGAGAGTATTGATTTCTGCGGGCGCGGGGCGTGAGAGAGTGTGCCATAGAAGCCAGGGATACGGTCAAGGTTCTCTCGCTGGCCGTGTGCCAAAATTCGTCCTCCTGGAAAATTCAATTTCAACCTCTAATCGCTCCTCGCCCGCAAATTCGCGACAAGGATTGTGTGGGAAAGGTGTCAGAAGGCGTTCGTCACGTTCATCTGCGGCTTCTGGCAACAGCTGATCACATTCGACGGTGTTGGTGTGTGTGGGATGAAGGAGACTTTGTGGGAGAGTCACTGAAATGTTGACGCTCAATCGATCAGTTTAGGTGGAATGGCAAGAGACTTTCCGCGAGAGTCACATCATCTGATAGCATTTTATTCGCGTCCCCGATGAAGCTAATTTGGGAACAAAGCGCAGTTCTTTGACTGATAAGGGAAATAACGAGTGAGGCATTTTATCATGTTAAGCAGGGTATTTTGTGTCGGGAAATCTACTTTAGTATCTTGGGTAGAAATGACTGGATTTTCGCACAATTTGTATACTTGGTTACAAATGGATTTTTCTGGTATTACTGAATTTAATCTCTGCATGATAATCTTGTTAGAGTTATCTTGAAATAAATATCAACAACCTACTAAAATGAGAAATCAAACATTTATTTACAGCATCAAAGGATGTTCTGATGAAGGTCATTCGAATATCGTTTGATTTGTCCATTGGATGTCTAATGATTCTTGAATGATAATGCGTTTTACAGCTTGAAAAAATATCGTTCAGCTCAGTAAATTATATCCTATAATAAAGGAAAGATTATATTTGTTATTTCATGTTATTTCCATTCTACAATTCACAGACAGTCCTCTGAGATTCTTATGGATTTTCATAGGACACTTGATATATAAGAACTCCTGAATTTATCACAGAAGAATTCCTCAGAATTCAGAAAAAGGTGTTTGTTCAATGGTTTTTTTGTCAAAGCGCGTAGACGATTTAATGGTTCTGCTTAATTTTTTTTTGTAAAAGCATTTGTCGTGATCATCTGTGAAAATTAGCCGTCAAACTTAAATAGCCTTAATTGAAATGTGTTGGGAAGATGGAGTGAACTGACCGATGGATATGTCATTCATGAGCATTGGGATCGAAGCAAAACATTAAATTGATGATAGGATTACGTAATTTATATACACGCTCAAGATGATCGCGCGTTTGTGAGTTAAAGAGATCAGCAGTGACCTTCGTTATCTCTGCCATTCACACTAGGAAATTGTTTATTCCGTGATTAAGTCGGTGGGCTTTTTTTTGGTGTTAATGAAGCGAGAGAGATTTAGAAATTGTCCACATGGAGAGAATTTGTACAACTTCCACATGGTGGATTATCGAGCAATTTCCTTTATCTGCCTTCCTACTGATAATTCGTGAATGTGTCTCTCGATTCTGGGGTGTTTTTGTGTGTGGGTTTCTTGGCTGAATGTGTGTTGAGGGAACGCTCTGTGAGGGATTCGGACGCGAGATTCAGATTGAATGTGATCGATGATCAGTCAGTGATCGAGAGCGTTGCCTGGCGGTTGCTTCTGTCCACTTGACCAACTGTCATTGCTTATCTTGCCGAGTGTTTGTTGTCAGTGTGAGGAAGTTGTGTGTGATTAGGAAGGAATCGGAGAGACAAAGAAGTCTGACGAACAATGTTGAGTGCGTGAAATGCGAGAAATAATGTCTGTGCCATTATGCTTCAGGTGAATTGATAGTATAAATAAATTATATTTTGAAAATTGTGTGGTTTTTGTGTGGAAACAAGACCAAAATGGATTGATTTTCCTGCTCTTTTTATTACCCGCGACTATTGCAATAAATGCATCGATTGCACTTTTCTGCACTCGGACAAAAGTCGGAGTGAAATAAAAGTTTTTTTCTTTGTTCACCAACTAAATGTTAATGGTTAACAATTAAGTGTAATGTGACGCAGACTCACTTGACGAGGAGGATTTGTATGCAAACATGCTTTAGTGTGGGTTGCTCTGAATTATTTTTAGAGTGACTTTGGTATGTTTTTTTCTCTTCTTCTGTTGTTGCTCTTCTTTACAAAATTGTGTGTATATTATTATTATTGAGAGACACAATTCACATAAAATGCTAAATTCAAATATTTAGCGTTTCTTCGTTTCGCTGTGTGTGTGTTTGTTTTTATTTTTATTTACCTTCCGTCGCGGAGTTATAATAAAAGAGAAGAGACTCTTGGTTATGGATTTCCCCCAAATGCCAAAAAGGACACAACCAAATTACATTGGCAGTGTTTACCTTCAAAACTTCGTGTTTAATGTCGTGTTCACTTGCATGCTATGCGGAGAGGGAAAATTCGTATATGAATTGTTAACATGGTGAATATGTTGAAATTAAACTACCAAAAAGCGAAGAGAGAGAGAGAAGAAGATTTTGCAGAATGTGGCGTGAGTTGATTTGATTGCGCGCGCGATTTTATGGGAAATTTCCTCAAGTTTTGGTGTTGGGTAGTTTTATCAGTTGCGAAGATGGAATATATTGTAAATTCCAAAATTAGCTTCTCTTTGACACACAAAATCACCAAAGACTCACATGATTATTTTGCCCGCCTTGTCAACATGACGACGATAAGAAGGATGAGAATTCAATGATGTGGAATACATGCGGAGCTTGGAAAAAAGGGAACAACGACATGTGTATAGATATTTTAAATCTCAGATTATGTGAAAAATTGTGAATAAACCCACGAGAATGATGAACTTTTCACATTTCTATTGCTCTCATTCTCTTCCTCGCCTTGCTTTTTTTCCTTCTTGTTGTTGCCACACGATAAACATTTTGTGGATTACTCGGCTTCCAAGCACACTTGACATCGTGAAATGTTGGAAAAGGAGAAAATAGAGATATTATATTTGTGAGATTCGCAAGTATGAGGGCATTGGAAAACTGATAGTTGGATGAGAAATGTAGTTTATGGGTTACGATCTCAATATGATGAAGGACGTGGACAGATTTGTGCGACAAATGACGTTGCACAGTGACACTTATAAGTTAAAGGAGTCGCAACAGCTCGAGATTGATGGGAAATATGATAGATGCTTCAAATTAGATTAAAAATAAATTTCTTATTGAATATTAATAAGGTTAAAAGTCGATTGGAAAAGTCTATCTTAATCCACAGACTTGTAGTCGGACTGTCCATGGGAATTGTAGGAAATTAATAGGAAGGAAATAACTAAAATGTTACTAGTTTCTTGCACAATATATTATTATATTTGCGTGTTCATTCCTTTTTCAGTGTTACCAAAATCCAAGGCATTAAGTCGACTAAAATATGACAAATCTTCTTAATTCTGTAGAAAATCTGCAGATTGTCATATGATTTGTCGAAATAGATGTCGTATTGCCGATATTTATGTTCTTCTGTGCCGCTGTTTCTCTTTCAGAGCTGAGATAAGACAATGTTTCCTGCACAGATCTGTAGTTGAGAGATTGAAAAAAGTCGATAGAAGAAAGAGGAAAGTGATTATTGAATGTATTCCACACTTTCACTATAAAACAACCCGAATGGGTATGTTTTCCCATTCTACAGTCACACACAAGCGGGAAAATAGAGAAAACGTGTGTAGAGACGGAGAGGAGGATGCCAAAAAATGTCTTTCGTGGGGACACTTGTGAAATAAATTTGGCAAATTGCTGAATGTGCGCCCAGAGACACTATAACGTTTTTGCTCCTTTATTTTACGTGCAGAATGACTATGTGTATACACAAGAGCGCGAAGCGAAGAGAATTGTTATCATGGGCTTTATAGGAGTTGTGTAAAAAGTGCAAATAATTTAATTCTACTGTCGCATATCACATGCGAAGAAGTAAATCCTATTAATATCGCTCGTATCACTGAGAAATGAGAGCAAATAATTATCTGGACAAGTGTCGAGTGGGTTCGCGGCTAATTGCTCTCCTGAAGTGGCTGTCTTTCGGGTTAATTGAAAGAGTCACACTGGATGGGAAATGTGTTTGTGAAAAGAGGTGTCAAGTTCTTTCATCACGGCAATGTTTCACTTGATAGAGTGTATAAAAGCGGTGTGAAATGACGAAGATCCTCATGCAAAAGTATACATATACACGAGCAGTGGTTGTTTGGTGAATAAAGGCGGCCCAAAGGAATATATAAATCTCACTGTGATATCCGACTCTTTTGTTGACTAATTCGGCGCGTCCCTGGAGAGGAAATTCTATACTCTCATGTTTTATTACACTTTTGCAAATTCAATAATGATTCATTTGTCTGTTTTTTTCTTGTCATTCAACCCTGTGCAATGACGCTGCGCGACATTTAATCAAGTGCACTCTCTTCCATCTTTTCAGTTAACGTGTAAAGAGTTTGGGATTTTAGGTGCCGTACCGCATGGCAGCCCTCATCGTGTCACGTGTTCTCATACCTGGTGATCGGATTTCGCCAATTCTCCGTGTACCTGTGAGGAGAAAACCGAAGGATTCAAGTTCAAAGGTGAGAAGACAGTCAATTTGCGTGGAATTGGGGTTGAAAACATTGAAGAGAAAAAGTAAAAGTGCTGCTGAATAAAATATTCAATAAATAATTTTTATATAAACACTCAATTTGGGGTGAGTAAACTCACGAGGAAAATAATATATTCGCCGTCTTCCGTGTGTTTCTCCATTAAAACGCCATTGGAGCAATTAGAGGAAATGAATAATAGCTGCTGCGTACATTGTCCAAGTGTTTTCATTTCGATATAACGTAAAAAAATTGGTTGGCATTTTTTCTTATGACACAATATCTGTATAAATATTTATTGATATTTATACTAACAGGTCAGGAGTTTTTTTTGTACTTGCTGCTGAATAATACGATATTTCCTTTAGCATTTTTTTTCCTCCTTCTTATCTGATGTTTAAAGTATTTTTTAATGATTTCCTGTTCAATTGACGGATATTCAGTCTTCAGTGATATCTTTATTGTAGTTTTATAGGGTAATCAGTGCTGAAGAGCTTGAAGACGCATGTTTAAGAGAGGGAGAGAGAAAAGTTATCAAATTTTGAGATGATCTCTTTGTTTAGCTTCATCAGCATTTATCACATCTGCGTTTTAAATACTTCTTTGAAGATGAATTTTCAATATCACAAATTATGGACAGCAATATTAAATGAAAAGTGAAGGTTCTTAAGACTTTGTGGTTTTTCCTGAAAATGAATATGAATTTTTTTTTCCACACATTTTCAAGCAAACTTCTGTCTAAGCATAACAAGAAGGGCACCAAATAGAACTATTTTCAACATCTAACGGTCAAATGTTTGAAATATTTTCAGTTTAGAGCGTATTTGTTTACTTAAAAGAAGTACTTTTTCCACAATTCTAATTAATGCTAATGTATTCTAATGTCGTATGTTTCTGTGTGTGTTTTGCAGGTTTTCCGCATGCTCGCCTCACATTTAGATCCATTTAGGCGTCAATTTCGCCGTGATTTATCGGAATGGATGTCAATAGACCCCATCAAGACAATAGTAACAATCAATCAGCTGGTTACTGCAATAGTTCTGGTGTTGGCAAGGCAAATGGCGGAGGGAAGCTCCTGCAGCAGCCGCCGGTTGTCAGCAACGGGCGCTGGAAAGCCGGCGAGGACAAGCATAGGGGCTGCAACGGAGCACCAGGAGTGGCTGGAGCCGGAGGAGTGCTTAATTGCGGATCCCAGTGTGAGAGTGTAACCATTTTGGCTTCAAGTAATAGTGCGGGAAGTGGTGGCATCGATGATCCAGAAACTAGAGATCCTCCATCCAGTGAGGAGAGTGAAATCGCGACGGGAATCAGTGATTGTGGCACAGTAAAGCTGGAGGATGTTGAGAGTGTGTTCAGTGGGGGTGTTTCCCAGGGGGGCGGCAGTCAGGAGACCACCATCGATGTGAGCGACGAGAAGTGCGAGGAGATCAAGCCGCTGCTCATTTTCGATCATCACTCGGAGAAGTATCCGCGCAAGCTGCCGAAGAGTATTGTTAAGTCGCCGTCGACGCAGAGTTTCAAGGCGGAGTCATTCCACAGGAGGTACCATGAGAAGCCCAGGCTGAGTTTGCAGTGTGGTGGCGGAGACACGGAGCGTCCGGTGCTGCATGTGCAGTTCTTGCAAGAGAAGGGAAAGGCGGGATCCAATCCCAGAGTGGCGCAGAGTGGCGAGGAGGAAAGGAGCGAGGCGTGTGGCAGTCCAATTGGCAGCATCACTTCGCGCACGTCGGGCTCCAGCAGCACGAGCTCGTCGGATGAGGAGAACAGCTCTCTTGGGCAGTATGCAGAGGCGCGAGCGCCGGACGGCGGCTGGGGATGGGTTGTCGTGGCTGCGGCTTTCATGGTGAATCTCATTGCGGATGGCATCACGTTCAGCTTTGGGGTGATTTTCGTGGAGTTCCTCAACTACTTCCGCGAGGGAAAGGCTAAGACGGCGTGGATTGGATCCCTGTTCATGGCAATGCCTCTCCTCTCTGGACCAATTGCCTCCTTTCTCACCGATCGCTATGGCTGCCGACGCGTCACTGTAGCCGGCTCTATCCTGGCCGCCGTGGGATTCATGATATCCGCATTCTCCACGTCAATGGAGATGCTCTTTTTCACATTTGGAATCCTCGCGGGCTTCGGATTGAGCTTGTGCTACGTGGCCGCGGTAGTGATAGTTGCTTACTATTTCGACAAGAGGAGATCCTTTGCCACGGGATTGTCGGTGTGCGGCAGCGGCATTGGCACATTCATCTTCGCGCCGCTCACGCAAGTTCTCCTGGAGGAGTACGGATGGCGAGGAACGACACTTATTCTCGCTGGGGTGTTTCTCAATATGACAGTGTGTGGGATGCTGATGAGGGATCTCGAGTGGACGACGCACAGGGCGAAGAAGACGCGTGCTAAGGAGAAGTTGAGGAAGAGCAAGATGGGAATTTCTGCGGATTCGATGAGCAACAGCACGAACACGGGCGGAACGGCGAGCAATCACCAGCACGGATCGGGATCAGGGAATCACGATCCAGAGGAGGAGTTCTACAGTGATCATCTGAAAGTGATTGAGTCGGACGATTGTCGGCAGTTCAGCTCACTGATAGCGCTGCCGACGTTCGTGCGAACGGGCGAGAAAGTGCCTCCGGAGGTGCTTGAGCTTCTGTCGACGCACAAAAATGCCCTTTTGCTGCACAACTATCAAGGCATGATGCACTCGCGTAGCTTCAATGAGCCTCTATCAACGGCAATGTCTCCGGAAGGGGCACTCAGCCCGTCAAATCCCGATCGGAGTCCATCGGCGACCATGGCGAGGAATCAGTCTCGAAAACAGCGCCTGCAGGGCAACGAGCAGGAGTTCCTGGACATCCTCAAGCGGGACACCCATCAGAGTCGTGAGGTAAGTATTCGTATTCTATGCTGAAAGTCCATTTATTGAATTGTGTCTGTTATTTGCGATTGCAGAAGCCGACAATGGCGTACTTGAAGGACTTGCGAATGCATCGGCACTCACTCACTTATCGTGGCGCCATGCTGAATATAAATCGCTATCGATTGCGCGCCTCGTCCTGTCCGGACATCTACAGGAACTCCATGACGACCATTGCGAAGGAGAAGAGTCAGTGGTATCACGGGATAAGTGAGTTCAAGAATCTTTTCGTCGATATTCTCGATTTCTCTCACTTCACGGACATTCGCTTCCTGCTGTTCGCCATCTCGAACTTCCTGCTGTACACTTGGTACGATGTGCCCTATGTGTATTTGGCGGACAACGCCATTGGGATTGGTTTCTCGGAGACGGACGCGTCTGTACTCATATCTATCATTGGCATTGTCAACATGTTTGGTGAGATATGCCTCGGGTGGATTGGGGACAGAAAGTGGGTGAATCCCACACTGGTCTATGCACTGTGCATGGCACTTTGTGGGGCGGTTGTTGGACTTGTGCCACTACTCCGATCGTATCAGGCACTTTCGGCCATCTCTGGGGCCTTTGGACTCTTTATTGCGGCTAATTATTCACTTACCAGTATTATTCTGGTGGAATTGATCACTTTGGAGAGATTCACAAACGCCTATGGACTGCTGCTGCTTGTGCAGGGAATTGCTAATCTCGTTGGACCTCCTCTGGCGGGTGAGTGTCTTTGAACACCTTTTAACATAAACTAATCATATGAAAGGCCTCGGTTTTTCTCACCGCTTTGTTTCTTTCAGGCTGGATTTTTGATATTACCGGAACTTATGAGTGGTCTTTCTACCTGGCCGGATTGTTCATAGCCGTCTCGGGTGGAATGCTAGTGATTCTTCCGGCTCTGGGGAAGTACAGAAGTTACAGGGCACTGAAGCGACAGAATTCGGAGAGCAAGAATGAAGCACCATCTAATTCTACGGTGAGTGAATAGAGCCTTTGCTGTTGTGTTGATGAATGTGAATAATACAAGTGCACTCAATCAATTGCCAGGATTGTCCTTCGGATAAATCGAATGGAACAACTATTCTTAGTGACTGTTTTCGTAAAGACTTGGGCAGAGGTAATGGGAAAATTGACCACGTCTAGGCTAGTTGGTGGATTGTGAGCGGCATCGATGGACTAAGCCAATTACCTTGTTGATATACAGTTAAAAGTTTTTTGCATCGTGTAATGTACACACGACTAGGAGGATTAATATTAACACACAAGTATTGAAGATGTAAATATGCGGAAGAAATAATCTGTCTGCATATTAGTTTAGGAAGTACTTGAAGAAAAAGACCTCTCAATATCGCGAGGGGCGATTTATTCGAATGAAAAGTTTCTTGATTTAGCGAATTGAATTGACAAACTCCATTTAAAAGTTGTTCTAGAGTGTGATTTTCGCACACAATTGAGAGAAACCTTTCTATGAAATCTTCACTGTTGATATTTGGATTGATGACGCGATAAAAGACGAAAATATGATGAAATTAGTGATCTTCCTCTTGCTTAATAACTAAAGAAAAAGAAAACACATTGACACAAATCGAGAAAAAGATAGAATGAAAGTATGAGAATTATACCAATTAGTGATCAATCACAACAGCGTTCGAATTATTCTATGAATCTAGTGAAGTAAAGATGCAAACAGAAAGGAGTAAAAAAAGCCCCTAATTATAGATTAAATCCCGAAGGTTTTTCCTTGTTTTTATTTTACTTTACAATTCGCTATTGTGCGGTGAAGTATGATAATTCTGTAATTTATGAACTGTGATCATTAAAAGAAGATGAAAGCATGAGGGGACGTGAAATTATGGGGAATGGGATCCAAAAAGGGCGAATAATATGATTTTCATATGGTGAAATTCTCAATTGGATAATGAAAAAATTGCGATGGAGAAAAATATTTTTATAGGTGACCCAAAAATCATCCCTTTTGAGAAATATGTATTTGCAAAAGATTACTTCAGCAAAATAAAACTGAATTCATGAGAAGGAAGAGGGAAAGAGAGAGATAAAAATTATGCACAACTTCTTGCAATAAATTACTCGATGAGCATAAAGAATTTTACATTAAAATAAATCGTATATTTAATACAAATATAAAAGATATGATATTGGATGTGTCTTGCAGTGCGGAAACATATGATTTTTGGTAATGAGCAACTCGAGAAGAAGTCTGACAAAGAATCAAGATTTTGCTGAATGTTTATTTTGTGCTAAAGTAGAAATTTTAGGATAGAATTGCGTGTGAGATTTCATTTTCCAATGTACCGACGATCCTTTTAGTTGTTGTGAGTGCGAGATGAAGGGTGATTATGTGTTTCATATAATCGATTAATATGAATTCTAATTAATGTGCGTCATATATATTGATGGTCGTGAGTAATTGAAGAAATTAAAATGAAAACCAGATAGAAAAAAAAGTATGAAAATCGACAAAATTACCTTTTCTCAATATTTTATATACAAATATATTTGATGTTTCATAAGAATATGAAGTGAATTAATCACTGGGAAATGTGAAGAGAATGATATGATATTTTTCTCAACTTTATTTACCCTCCTTTCGATCAAGTACTTGAGAAGAAGAAGCTACAATTTCATAGTTGAGCTAGAATTGAACTCCACTTTAAAAATGATATAAGAGATATATTATTGAAATATGATACCATTCTTAGCTCTAATCGATACACATTTGAGTGAAAATTTGAAGGAGAAATAAATACACAGCAAGTATGAGAAGTACATCTCACAAAAAAATATTAAATACTGTTTAAGTAGCGAAATCTCTGGTAAATAAACTTGAAAATGAGAAATGATATTTAACGGAAGTGCTTGTTTTTTGTGTGTGTACTCTTGATTTTTGACCCCACGAGAAGCGCGTATTTGGAATGGAAAATGGGTCAAAGGTGTATTCTTGCGTTGTGCCAACGAAAATACATCGTCTGAGTTTATTTGGGGTGGAATTTGCTGGGCGACGACGGAAAAGGGGGTTTACGGCTGTACTTGACTGGGAAACCTTGCACTACGCTTCTCTTGTACTCCACCTGATCGTTGTTTGCCTACAGAGAATCACAGCCTTTGCAGTTGAGTGCGGGAAAGTGTGATGACTTGACGATTTTCTTCATTGAAGGTAGGTTTGAGACATTTATAGAAATCAATTCTTCTTTCAGGACGCTTTTTTTGCAAGAAGATACTGCTCAGCGAGACATACATATTTCAGAACTTCTCATTATACGTTTAATTGCAGTTCTGGTGAATAAGAAATATTCCTTCTTTCTTTCTTGATTTTTCATCACTTATCAATTAGCTTTTTAAAGCTTTTTAACGCTATTAATACTAACTGAAACTGTGGAGTCTTTACAAATGGGCGGGGCATTAAAGTGGGCGTGATTTCGCAAATATCTTAACTATTCTTGATGACAAGCTATTCAGCGGCTGAATTCATTAGCAAACCTATAAATCCCACTTCCCATATGCTTCTCGTCGCTCATCACTGTCTATGACTATAAAGTGTGGCGTCGCTGAGCGTCCGTCGCGTAGGGAATTTAAATCAACAAAGTCAGTGTGGGGGAGAAAAAGCCGCGAAATTCTCTCATATTTCAGTCACAAGCGAGTCGCCCTCCAAGAAAGTGGATCCGAATTCCCCCGCGCTTAGGCTGTGCCTTTGTATTGCAGCCTTGTCCAGTGGAAAATGTGCTCTTTTTAGTGCTTTCGTGCCGACGACATTCTTGTGATGTGGCTCGTCGTATCTGGAAAATTTAAATTTAGCCCATGTGAAAAGAGACTCGTCTGTCTCCAACATTTCACCACACATGCAAAGCGAGGAATAGTGTGGAAAAGTGCCTCCAGTGCAATTTAAAAATAGTCCCTGTGCGCTGTGTGTCTGAGAGTGCGGTTTCTTGGGCGGGAGATTAGTGAGTTTTGAGTTAAGTTTATTGATGGCTGCATCGAATGCGCCAGAGTGATTTTGTGCGATTGCGAGAGAGGGTGAAGAGGCATTCGTTGGGAATTGATTTAACAAGGGAAAAATGTGAAATCAATAATTCACAATTCCATAACTTTGCGCGGGTGAGGCAAACATTCTCCCATTTCCCTGCTATCCTCAATTTCCCGTGTGCCTTCGGTGCACATTTGAAGGTTGCAGCGCCTTTCCAGCCCCTCAATAATTGATACTCGGTGGTCAGCGCCATGAAAGAATGATTGGTTCATTTCAACACCCGGTGAAAGTGGACTTTTCTGTCGGTGTGTCGCCGCCAGAGTGGCTGTGAGCACAGCACAGAGTGCTTCCCGGACATGAAAATGGAAAGTGAGGGCAGGAGCTCGACAGCCAGCACCGTCAGTGGAGTCTATCAGAACATCTTGAAGGTATGCGATGCACTGGAGCATTGACATTGCCAAGTGAGGCGGAAAATTAATTCAGTCATCAATCATTTTGGCACTCAAACGCGCGGAATTTATATTAATACGTCTCTCAATGCCTCTTTCACCCCTTTCAATTCCAGAGCCCCGCGCCAATTTGCATGTTCTACTTCTCACATCCCTTCGGGATTTCATCACCAGTCGACGCGACAAGTGGAAAATTGTCAAGCAGCCCCAAAGATACGGATTGCCCGAAGAGGTTGGCACGCAGAGGACGCAGATTCGAGGGTGACCAAGCGAGAAAAACGCCTCTGATCCCCTGGCCGAGGGACACTTGGCGCCGCGAGTTCTCCCTGCCGCCGCTCATTCAGTTCATCGCCCGGCGAAATGGTGAGTCCTGCCCATTTCGCACCGTGTGTGAAAGTATTTACCTTCAGTGCGTGTTCGTGACTCTAATCGATTTACTACGGGGAAAACTTGTATCGTTCATAAATCGAGCGCTGTGCCTAAACTCCTTATCGCAAGTCGATTAAGGGATGAGGTGGGAATTGAGAGCCGTTCTCGATAATTTTATGGGGCTTCTTTATGAGCGGAAGCAATTTATTACTCTTCACCCTGTGCATCAATCTTTGGCACTTTGCATTGGAGTTCGCATGACGCGGGAAAAGCGATTTGAGGGGATGTTTCTCCCTGAATTGATATTAATCACTTTCATAACGCTCTGGAGAAAGGAATTGAATTTGTGGTTCGATATTTTATAGCCAAGGTGTTCTAATAATACACACAGAAATTCATGTTAAATTCGCTTTTAGGGTCAGTCAAAATATGATTCGTCTATCTTTGGTGTGAATAAATCAATAGGAAAGTGCTTTTATGATTGTATTAAAGCGCTGAATTTGAATTATTATTTAAATTGTCACGCTTGTTCTGAAAAATCAAAAAAATTTTTTTGTATGGATATTTGTCTGATTTACTAGAAAATGTATTATTCTAATGGAAAATACATAAAAAAGTCTAGCAAAATGAGGACATCTGGAAAACCGTGAATTTTGCATTATCCTAATTTAGATAACATCGAATTTCAAGACTTTCTAAGGGATTGAAAAACAAGTCAATTATATTGACGTTTCTTTAACAAAATGTCCAAATTAGTGAGCGGAAATCTAAAAATATACACAATATTAATGAATAATTGATAAATTCCATTAATATTATAATATTCCATTGATAACTAATCTGCGTGACGCCCAAAATTGCACTCCAAACGTGAAACATGAATGAAACACGGCGAGAAAAGGCGGGAAAGTGGCAGAAGTTTGTCTATTCGCCGGGAAAGCGCTGCTGTGGCGGTCTCACTTCCCGGCTTTTCTCGGTTGCTGGAGTATCAGTTTGTTTGAATTCGTCGCGTGGATACGTTGAGTTGGTCATCCATCGATTTCTTTTGCCGGCAACAATTCGAGTGCCGTGTCGTGTTAAAAAAAAATACATATGCTCAAATAGAGTTGTTTGGCAGGTGTTCTTGCGATAAAAAGTGCCGATAGATTATGAGAGAATTCCGCCCGCTCTTTGTGCTTCTGCAATTTTGATGAGGCACCTTTTGAGAGGCCCTCTTTGGCGGGGGCTTTTTTGAGTGTGGGTGTTTGTGGAAAATCCATCTTGTTCGTGGAAAACACCTCCGCATGCCAAAAGAAGACATCTGTGGGTGAAATTTACACGGCAAATGTGATGAGAAGCAGTGAAATTCAGTGCGGAAAGGATATTTTTGCCAACAACACACAACTTTTCCTCTGGCTCTGCTGAGGTGAGACTTTTGCGGATTTTGTGGTGGTTTTCAGTGGAAGTTTTTGGGGATAGAATAGCACCCTTTGCGGTGCAAATGCCACATCAGTGATTTTCCACACAGCGAAGTTTATTAACTAATGATACGCACTTCACCACTTTCCACCCCTTTCACATAAGTTTCCCACCCACGCCGTTGCGCGAGCAATTAAAGTCACATGAATTGGTAATGAAATTAAGAAATTTGTGTGTAAAGTTTTATGGCAATTTTTGGGCGTTGGAGACAAAAATGTTTGGCATTTAATTACGAGCGCAAAAGACAGCCCATAAATTAAGGTGAGAGTGTCACGATCTTTAAGCAAAGAAGTAAATATTTACACGTGAAACATCATCCCATTCCACAACTGCTTTGTCACACACACAATTAATTTACTCAGGATGGAAAAGTGATTATCTGGGAGATTTACTGTCTCTCTTGCCAAATGCGATGCACTTTTGATAAGAATCATAGTCATAAAGTCGCTCTCCGGTCAAGACTTCCATTATCGGAGTATTTGGCCGAAAATTGGAAATCGAAGGGACAGAAGAGCAATGATAATTACAGCATTGTCTCATAACTGTCTCAATCACCTTTTGCAATGGTAATTTATAGTCAATTTCCACAACTATCTTATCTTAAAAATACAATTTATTCTTCGAGATAAGATTGAAGAACTCTAAATTAAATATTTGCGTTCGGTGGCTGGCAATAGATATGAAAATCTTGTGACTCTAGAGTCCACCAAATGAGTCCATAATCACAATGAAATGTCTTTCGACCAGCGCTTGAGCAACCGACATGATGAATGGCTGTCTCCTTAACGAATTGATGACAGATTTTAGCGCAACGCCACTGATAAAGAGCCACTTTTATGAATTATCCGCGGAATTTTCTCTCATCAGTCAAATTTTCTGCTTCGCCAAGATAAATTTATCACTATGTCGCGCTGTATTAGCGAAAGTGTACCATCGGGGGTGACACTTGGGGAGATGAAGAAATTACCATAATCGTAGAAAAGCACGCAAGTGACCATTTGCCGAAAGAGCCCTTCTATTTTGTGGCGATAGAAGACAATAGACGAAATCGCAGGAAATGGCGACACTCTGGTTTCGTGAAATATTCATCGAGATGATTTTCATTTGCAGGTCGCAAAGTGCCGGATATTGAGGGCGTTTTGAGCACAATCAGACGCGCCTGGAACACTCCAAGTGAAGGACGTGGATCGATTTGTAGGTGAGTGATTCTTCTACCCATTGGATTTGCTTTTTGAGGGGGTTTAAGGTCGACTCTTGCCGAGGGAAGGAAGTCAAAATCCAATTCGCCCACTCGCACGAGGGCGCGAAAGCAGTCAATTGAGTTGATGGATTCATCACTTTGTCATTAAATGGAATAAAATTAATTCCGGCCCTGATTGCGGATGCCACAAGATTATCGTTCAATTAATTTCATTGCCACGCAACTGGAATTTCAGAGCTCTTCTTCTCTGCATCGCAGTGAATAAATTAATTCTCATGAGCTTTGACTCGGTGCGATATTGCTTCTTAAGTGCACGTCAAGTGCGTATGGAATAAAGAGAGGCAATGCGGCTTCTTTTACAGTCTTGTGCCAGAGAGAAATACCATAATTGGTAAATCATGGAGGGTTAAAGCAATATTTTACCTAAATACTCATGAATTAGCGAAAATTAGATGAATCAAGGGCAAAATATATTTAATGTATGACAAAGATCAACAAAAGTAGTCTCAATCTTTCGGGAAATATGAGTTTTTCTCTTATATTTATCATTCCAATACCTTTTCAACACATTTCCATCGCCATTGACTTTGAGCACCTCCATTCATTCAACTTTGGGTAAATATTTGACCTAAAATCTCATCCGGAGAGAACCAGAAATTAGCTAAGAGTATGAAATCGGAAGCATACTTGAGATATCACTCAGTTCTCAAGATGACTGAAGGAAAAAAAACCGTAAAATTTTCCCATAATGCGTGTCTTCCGTTGCCTGTTTTCAAGACAAATCCAGAAAGACTTTAGAAGCACTCGCGCATAGTTTAGCTCACTCATTAGCACGCCACGGGCAGATGGTTGCAGGTAAATATTGTGCTTGAATGCTCGAATTGGGATGGAAACTGATGCGAAATTTGCGAACAGGCTATTTTTAGTGTGTCATGGAATCAATAGAGCTGAATTCGTGGAAAATACTCGCGATGTCACCACAGAACAACTGATAAATGCGTCACGCGTGCAATTTTCCTGAGTGCGGCGCGGTGAAAAAATTCCTCAGGGTCTGCCGTCACATTTCATTTGGGTGTTTTCCTTTTTTTGCCTACACGTGGAATTTGAGTGAAAATTTGGTGGGTAACAGACGTAAATTGGCGAATCCGGTGACGGGACTTATCAATCTTGACGATTTATTTCCACCTGACTTGAGATGCTCCCTCGAGATCGTCGAATTTGCCAGTCACTTTCGTGCTCTCGCCCTCGCAGTCACTCGTCCCCGGAGAGTCTATTTGTCTCTCCGGCAAATTGGCGAAGACACGCTCGCATTGGGAACGAAATTGACGAAGGACACGGCGCACAAAAGGCTTCCGCTGTTAATTCCTTAATGGCGCCTCGCCGACCCCACGCACAATCGCCTCGTGTCAGACAGAAAGAGGAAAAATCACGTGTGATATTTATTGAATCAAGTCAAAAGGCAAATATTTGCCTCAAAAATGCTGCAAAGCTCAACTCTTCCTCGTGCTAAGTAAGATTGTTTGCTTAATTCGCGCATTTCACTTAATTCCAGACAGATTCATGAGATTATTTACCGTTCATTTTATCTCAAGACTGAGTCTTCCAGGTGAATTATGCGATTTTTTCGCGCGAAATAAATGGGTATTTTCCAGAAATAGCTCAGCTTGCATTTATCAGCACTTTGGGACTTGATGTGCTCTTTATAGCCTCGCAGTTCAACTACCCTGAGACTGTTTCGAACTGAGCTAGAATCCTTATTTGACGATGTTGAGTATATTAGATCGCTTAGCAAACAATTGCTTAAGGCATTTCTGGAATTTCGGTGTTCTAGTTTTGTCTTGAGTTTTGTGTTCTATTTAAGCAATCTTTTTTATGCCAGAAATAGAATATTTGATAGATTTTAAAGACCTGAATTTGTCCGTTTCTTAAAGACTTGCAAAGATTTCCCGTAAAATTGACTTGAGCGTGTGGAAAAATTAGCTTTATATGCACAACTTTCTTATGGAAAATTCTTGTAATTTCATCACTTTTTATGTTCTTTGTTCCCTATTAATCACCGAGTCAATTGAACGTGGCTCGAGCTGCTTTATTTCCTGAAAGCATTCATGGTTTCAGAGTAAAGTTTCCTGGTGTTTCACGTGAAAATTGTGCCTCTTTTCTCGCCCATCTCTTTGCGACCGAGAACGGAAAATATTGATTGTTTCTATTTCTCGCCGGTCATGTGCCGGTCAATTTGCACAATTCACAGGAGATAATCTCGGGCGGGGATGCTCAGCCGGTGTGTGATTGCCCAAGCGAAGGATGGGACATGTTAATTGGCGCTCGAGTTAACAGGTGATTATGGACGCTAATCACACATCGACATCATCACTCTGCAAATTGTCTTTGAGTGGATATTCATTAGTGAGCCTCCAGTGGCTTCAGTTCTCACATCTCGAGCCCACGTCAGTCGATCCCGCGAAGTCAGTGTGTGAGCACACTCTCTTTCTGACCCCCTTAAATTGCTCCATTTGCTTTCGCGCGAAATAGGAAAATTACCCACGGATCACCGCACAATTGACGCAGTTTCTCGAATTTCTATTAATCTTGATAACATCCCGCGAAGTGTGTATATATGTCAAGAAGTTTGCTTAGAGCCATCAAACACTCTCAATTGGGGACACAATGAAAGAATTTCGAGTGCCAGTATTCGCGCAAATGAGCTCTTCTTCCCTTGTTCACACCAAGAACACCAGCAAACACCTCACCGAGTATTTCTACGAGAATGTAAGTTTTTCTACAGAATGTTGCCACATTTTCGCGCAAAATACTCCATCTCACCTTTATTTGCTGGCCACACTGGCAAACTTTTCCACTGTTTTGCAGTCAGATTTTAGGAGTCACAAATATGCTATCAAAACACTAATTTTGCAACCACGCGCAGAGCATAAAAAACCAATATTTATTCCTCCACCGTCGCACACTGTCCAATGTACTAAATGGTAGTGTGTAAAGAAGTTAGAAAACTCGCGCCAAGACATTGCATGCTGGCGGCAATTATTCAAGTCTCGCAGGCAGGTGAAAAAGGATTCCATTTTCATTCCATTCCGCAAATTCTTCAGCCTCTCAGTTCATATCAGTGCAGAAATGTTTGGGATTATCAGTTTTTACTGTTGGGAAAAAATTCCCCTCATTTGCATATTGAGTGGAAAGAGGAAACACCGCGTGTGTGATCTGCTTAATATCAATTTAGGATTTGACTCTGCACACTCTGTGTGGGGAGTATATAAATATAAAGTGATTTAAACTCTGTGAGAGCACAATTTTGATTTATTCGGATTATTTCAATTGACTCTCTCGCCTCGAAATGAATTCGTATGAATAGAATTGTGTGTGTGGCATTTTTTTCTGGCTGGCTCTGGATTTGCATTCAATTTTGGGTCACTTTCTCACTTGGCTGGAAAATTTCATTATCCGATCATTGATTCGCCGTTTTCCACCACGTTCGCTGATAACAATGTGCAGATAATGAAAGTTTTAATTGCCCGGGGTTTTTTATTTGCCATTGGTGCGCAAATTAAATCTTTGCACCGTCTGATTGACTTCTCGTCTGGCTTTTGCAGTGGATTTCGTGACGAAACATCATCAGCATCCGATTGGGATTTGGTCACGGTATCGAGTGATTTTCCGTGCTGTCGACACACCATGGGCTCCGGCACCTTCGCCCTCACCAACGGCGGCGGACTGCTCAGGCGGCGCTACTCCGTCCCAGAGATTATCATGAGAAAGTGAGTATTTGCCGAGCGACTGGAGGACTTTTTGGGGTGGTTGGCCAAAGGGCAGGCCAGCAATTTCACACAATCAATAGCCGATGGATTTTCCCGGATGATTGCAAAATCCAATCAGGAGCTATGAGACTTTCTGTTTACCCAACGCGCCACTTTTTGGATTTGACCACCGACAAATTGTGCCATAGAGCGGAATGTATTTCCTCCGCTTTCAAGGGTTGGATCAGTGTGGGCATACCTTTTCATAACATCAAATCGATAGCATACTCACCAGCACAAAAGGAGCAAAGAACTCACAGAGCCACTAACCCCGCACTCAAGCCGCTATATAGCGTCTTTTCCGGTGTAACACAACACAAAATGACCATTTGCCTCCTCCGCCTTATATTCTAATTCACTTCACTGCCCCTCTTTTGACCCCCTTTCTGCGCCCCCGGACACGCTTTCTGCGATTAACCCTCGAGGATTTTATTGCAAAACCCCAAAATAACGGCAGGGCGTGGGAATTCCACCGCGGTGTACAAATGGCTGCAAGAGAGTGAGTCTGAAGTCATCCTTGCATCAGATTCTCTAATTCAATTAAAGCCACAAATATTACAGAACTGTTGAAATACCAAGAATTGTAATGTGAAACATTTTGAAGTATTAAGAGTGAAAGAAAGCAGTGAATCTACAAATTTAATTAGTCTTGAGTCACTCATTAACACTAGAATCGCAATTATCTTTCCGGGAGCGCTCCAAAAGATTTTATCCATCTTTTGCGTCAGTTTGAGGCACATGACAAAAACTTCGTCTAATTACTTAATTCCATTTAAATCTCGTGATGTACACTTCATCCCTCAAGTGTCTCTCTCTTGTGCTAATTCGTCATTTTTCTCCTTTCATGTTTGGCCACCCTCAATCAGGCACTCGCTATCGCAGCAGCGATCTCTCGAGACGCGCGAGAGCGTGGCGTCAACGGCCCCAACGCCCCGCCACTCGCCCTTGATGCGGTCGCCGGCCGACACGGGACGCCGTGGGGGAGGATCCGACTCGAATTTGTCGCGTGCCACGGCCAGCAACGACATGAGGAAGTCCACGCTGCTGCGGCGCTTTTGGGGTCGCGACGCGCGGCGCGCGGACATGGACTCGCGGTCTGGCAGTTGGTCACCGCCCGCGCGACGCTCGCAGCGGCGACTCCACTTCGACGCGCACCAGTGTGCCGAGTGCCAGAAGCTGAATGGGACACAGACCAGCGGCAGCAGTAGCAGCAGTCAGAGCAGTGTGTTCCTGGCCAGCGGACGCACACCATCGCTGGCATCGCCCAAGAGGCTGAAGCTCATGAGCACGCCGTCGGAGTCCGTGCGACAAGGAATGGAGAGTGAGATCACCGAGACGAGCAGTCAGTTGGCGAGGGACTCGCCCACGAGCGCATCTTCAAGCAACGGGCGGAAGAACGTGATGATCTACATGACGTCCCTGGAGACGGGCACGTCGCCGGAGAACAACAACCCCTCGGAAGAGTCCCTGCGGATTGAGATTGAGACGACGACGCTCACCTCGGGCGCGGGGGATGAGAATATGAATGGGCCGCCCACCACCACCACGGTCACACGCACCGAGAGGGTCAACAGACACCACTCGGAGGAGGAGATGGATCGATACATCTCCAAGTTGCTGATTGACAGTCTCAATAATGTAATTGAGACGTCTGCCACTGCTGAATTAGTCACCACTGGAGATTCTAATGGAAATGAGACGGGTGCCACCAGGGAATCCACCGCCGATGAGAATCTCAACACTGTGGCGGACGCTGAGGAGACGGAGAAGGTGCAGGAGAGTCCTGAGGAGGTGCCCATATATTTCCCGAGCTACTCAGCCGAGAGCAAGGGCGATCTCTCGAGCTACACTTCGGCCTGCTCAGAGCCTGAACCCCAGGAGATTGGCGCTGTGGGCACGGGCAGCTCCTACCCGGACATTGATTCTCACGGAGAACCTCTGCTCGTGCCTAGACTGTCCGCTTTCCCGCGCACAGAGTCCATGGAAGTGCAGCCATCGTCAGCTTCGGCCTGTGAAGACGCTGATAACGCGGAAAATCTTCCAGACGATGAGGATAGCGTGAGTCTGGTGGACAGTCTTGATGATCCCGACTCACCAGATCACAAGTATCACTCCACAGAATCTCTGAGGCCACCATCTTCGGGGGAAACGGCGCGAGAGGAGAAATCCCCGTTCGTGCGCGAGAAAGGAGAGGCTTTCTTCGTGCCCATGTCCGAGAGTCAAGTGCCGGTGGATGAGCACATAGTCGTGGCTGATACGATGCCTGAGAAGCTGAGGGATAAGCTGGTAAGGCGCCAGAAGAGGCGAGATATGAAGAAGGAGCAGGAATTGCGCCGCCGACAGAAGATGCAGAAGTACATTGATCAGAAGCTGGAAGAGCGCCTGGAGGAGCTGCAGGTGAATGGAAATCGCAATTCTCGAGCGATTATAGCCAAGAAGGATATTCCTGTGTCCACTCCCAGTGCGCCAGTGAAGCCAGTGAAGAAGAATGTGCTGAGGACGGAGATTGGAATGCTGGAATCGTACACAATTGACTCCAGAGGGAATATGCAATTCAATCCTCCAGCAAAAGAGTCCTCGTCGAAGAGCACAAAGGCTCCCATCGCCAAGAGGACGAGCATCACGAGGAAGTTCACGAAATCCAAGTCTGAAGAGCATCCGGCGCCTGAGAAGAAGTTCCAGGTGAAGAAATCCGCGTCGGACACGCTTCCGAGGCGCGGGAAAGGAGTGAGAAAGGATGTGCAGCACATGACTCTCTATCAGACGGCAGACTTGACTCCTGACACTGAAGGTGGACCGCGGAGAATGTATCAGAAGACAGAAATTCAGGATGGGGAGAAAAGGATTGAGATTCTGGAGATTGTGGAGTGTCTGGACACTTCTCCGGAGAATTCTCCGCTGACTTATCGCGTTGGCAAGTCACTGAGGCGATCTAGGATTCCGGTGCCCATTTACAAATCTGCCCGGAAGACGAATGGAACGGTGTCACCACGCACTGTTGCCAGCACGAAGGTGGACAAATTGATAGCCGATCTCCTGATTGAGGCGCTGAACAATCCTGTGGATCTGGGAATAGAGTTCGTGCCATCGCCAAAGATTGAGAAAGCAGTGAATGGGAAGAGGAACGGCGTGAAGAAGAGATCAGCCAACAGTGGAATTAAGTATCATCAAGTGTTTGATGTGATTCCTGAGGAGAGGAGCAGCTTTTCCCTGGACTCGTCGAATGAGGAATCTGGAACGACTCACAAGTCCCGAGTGGACAGTGGTCAGGGTGCCTCAGCGAGGAGCTCATCGAAGCAGGATTCCGTGAAGACGAAGGAGGACGACAAGGAGATCGAAGAGATCCAAGAGACCTCAAAGGAACTAGAGAAATTTGCGCCGGACGATAAGAGTCAGGCGAATCGCGGCAGGGCAGCTTTGGAGAGTGACACGTGGCTGGGATTCTTCAAGCCACACGAGGAGTCGTCGGCTGAAGGTATGCTGGTAGTTTGAGACGTTGATTAGTCTTGATTTGCTTGCATTATTTCCATCTCACCGCCAGTTATTTCTGTACACACATTGAAATAAATGTTTCGTGCACGAATTCCGTGATTTTTTCTTGCACTCGCGAGGATAAAAACTGTTCGTTTCTTGCAGAGGAATCATCTCGCACTCATCACTTCTGCCCACTTCATTCATGTCATCTCATGCTGACACCCTCATCAGACACCCTGACCACAGTTTCCTCCGTTTTGCACAATCCCACGATGACCTTCTACTCCCCAGACACTGTCCAGGCACTCGAATCCCTCCCGGACGCGACCACGCACCACACGAGCAGCTGCGGCTCCGACAACATCCTCACGGTGATTGAGGAGGTGCACCCGAGTCCATTACCTCAGCCACATGATTCTGTTTCAGGTGCACTGGCCAAGATTGAGCCGCCCAAAGAACCCATCGACTCCAGCTCCTTTGTCATCATTCCGGCCGCGGAGAAGGCTCCCGAGCCGGCGCCAAAGGAGCCTCCGGAGCCAGATTCCGCCAAGTCTTCGGTGCGAACGCGCGACGTGTGCAAAGATTGCTGTTTCTGCAACCCAGATCTGCACAAGAAGGCCTCTCCCGAGGACACCACGCGCTCCTGCCACTTTTGCGACCGAAAACGGCAGACGAGCGCCCCCAAGAAGGCGGAAGAGGAGCCCCAGAGTGGCTACGAGACGGCCAAGAGTCACCACTACTACGAAGTCATGTCCAAGTCTGACCATCAGCACACAAAGACCAAGTCCAAGGATCCAGAGACAATCAGCACGCGGTGCGTGAAGACCAACGAGAGGATCCAGAGATTTGTGTCGTCTCCCGAAGACGCCAGGTCCAGCAAAGGGAAGATTAATCGCCCCAAAGATGTGCCGCAGCCCATCTCCAGAGGATCAGCGGTGAGAGTGGTGAAGGATGAGGTGGAGGCGACTGGGAAGAAGATAAAGTTCCCCAGTCCCTACACTGTCCTGTCCTCGCCGCAGAGCTACGACGACGGCTCCTCCTGCTCAGAGGACGCGGATTCTAGTCCGCCGGCGCCGCGATTGAATCCCATGCGCAGCCGGTGGGCCAACTCCAGCCGCTACGCCGGACGAAAGTCCACAAACAGCCGTGTGAACCACCCCAAATCCTCGTTCGCCTCCACCTCGAGCAGCACGACGCCGGGAGCCAATGCAGGTAATTTCATCACACCGCGCAAGGGACTTCGCGTGGGTTGGCATCCACCCTGGGGACTGCTGTAGTGGCGATTTTGCTTTTTGTCACCAATAAATGCCCAGACTTTTGCTCACGTGGATGACTGTTGTTTTGTGAACAAATCCACACTGTGTTCTAGGTTGGTCAGTCACTGTGGCTGGCAACTATCATCCCCAGCTGGCGCCCGATGTCGAGATGCGCCTCAGCTTCCCCAAGACCGTCACGGAGAGCGCCCAGCCGCAGCCTCCGTCCACCACCACGACCAACAGGGAGTTCTACGAGATGACACCGCCGCCGGCTCACGATGCCCGCTCGCGAGCCGCTCTGCCGCCCACAAATGCGCACACGCTCAATCCCAAGCGAAGCCTCACGAAAGTCACCCCGGCGCCGTCAGGTATCAGAGAAGCTGTGCCCCAGTCTCAATCACAGGGTCTCAATTTGAATATCTCGTGACTTCCGCAGCTAATGGCAGGAATTACCGCTTTCCGGAAGTCAACACAGCCACCAGCCAAGCCGTGTCGCGGCAAACGGCCAAGAAGGCAATTAAGGTAGAGGAATTTGGAGTGGACATTTGACCCACATTCTCACCCCAAATCTCTCTCTTCTCGCCCATAAAAATAGCGGGTGGAGTGCAGCGTCGCCGTCACTTCCGCCACTCGCACCATTTCCAAATTCAGCCGAGCCCAGCGCGCCATGTCCTTCCAGTCTCTCCACCCCGCCATCGAGGACTCCTTCAGGCACCGCGACGGATCGGTCGGGTGAGTTTTCCCCTGTGGCACACGAGCCAACAGTCACTCTCACGCCCCCCAAAATCCCGCACAGAAACCTCTCCAGCCGCCGCTTGTCGCTGGACGGCAGCCAGTCGGACGACGTGGCCAGTCTCAGCATCATGGGCAACGCCATCGCGCCTGAGATCAAGCCCCGCGTGCCCACAATGAGTGAGAAAGACCTCACGAGGCGCCACAGCTCCTGCTTCACCAGAAACAGATCCTATTTGACGTAGAAGCGAGCATTTCGATGTGAACAAGCACAGAAAATATAGATAATTTAGGGAATAAATGTAGGGAAATTTGCAATTGCCACACGCAACGTGAGAGGAAAGAAGGGCCATTTCATCCGATTGTCACTAATCAATGTATCGTGTTGTGCCAGATCTTGTGAGATGTTTCAGTCTGTCTAGCATAAGTTCTTTCAATCAAAAACTGTCCTATAATTTGACTAAAAAGACTCAAAAGTCGCAGAAACTGTCTATATATTGATTTGATAAAAACATCCACTAAGAAAATAAAGAGGTTTTCCATGCAATCGCTTTTAATTGAAATACAAAGAGAAGAGAATATTGGAAAAATTCGAAAACTTTTATTGTAATTCTACAAATTCGTGAAAAGTGTGAAAATCAAAGTCTGACATTTCCTTAGTTCTATTAATGTACTTGAAATAATAGTCAAAACTGTCTAAATCATATTTTTGAAAACTTCCGAACGCTTTCACGGAGTTTAGCATGTCTTTTGTACTGATTCTGAGACTCTTTCGTGTACACTTATCTCTGTTAACAGTCTTGCCATTTCTGGTGAGAGACGCTGATAAGTGTTCTCTTTGCATGCTCTCTGACTCAAATGTGCAATTTCATATCTTTTCCTATTCCTTTCATAAACAACTAAACATTGCGACGCTATATTTTCCCATTGCTCTATTCTCGGCTAATATAATTCGCGCTCAAGTGACATCGAAAGTGTGTTTGTGAAGCAATGTGCAGTCATCGCGTGTCAAAGACCAACTCTTTCGCCCAGTGTTTCACTTTGTGAATTCATTGGGTGACCGAATTACATATTCACCCCCGAAAAGAGACCTCAAATCAGCACCCCTAAAAACCTCTCATTGTCGCTGTGGCGGAACAAAGAGTCCTAGAATACATAATTAGGCATTTCTTACAGAAAGTCGCGAGAGAATTCAGCGCAATTGCGCCATAGTCCAAGAGAAGGGATGTTTAGTAATGTAAAACCAATGGTTTTGTTGCCAACTATTATATTCTCTCCATATCAGAATAATTGAGATAATAATTAATCCATTACTTCAAATTGTAAATCTTATTATGCGTGAATATAACTACCTAGAATGATATACTAATTCCGACAGCAAGATATAATTTATCATCATGTTTTCTCATTTTCTCTCTCATCTAAATTCCGAGTTTTTTTTTCTCGTTCTCTGTGACCCATTTTTTCCTCCTCCTCCTCCTTCTCCTCATTTGCATCCAGAAAACTCTTTTCCGTCAAACATTTACGATCTTTACATTATTACTCTACTTCCTTGTTATTATACTTCTATATCATGTTGAAAACGCATTTCGTCCCTCCTTTCATCCAATTCTCCCTAAAAAAATCTCTAGCCAATAAATCGACGTGTAAATAATAATATGTATATCAAAAAGGGAGAGAAATCATAATCATTCCAATTCAATATCAAAGAAAATTCCTCCTCAATCGAATGACAAAGACAAAAAATTACAGATAATAAAGTGTGAAGGAAGTCAGCTCGAGATTTTGCTGCATGTGAATGCATCACTCCTTCAGAAGGAGCCTCTTGTCCATATTGAATCACAGTAAAAAAACATAAGATTTAACATGTACAAAAGATATTTCAACTTCAATGACAAAATAATAATAATAATTATGATATTATATTAAGGGGAAAATAATGTCCCAACAAAACAGGAAACAAAATCATAATGTGGCTTAATTTATGCATTGTTGCTCAATTACTTCATCTCAACAATCAAAATTTATATATATATGTCATTACTAATTTTACATATACGATAATTGATAAATTGAATAAATAGAAAAATATGATATTATTTTCTATTATGATTCTTCTTTTTTCCCTTATTGAATAAAATCAATCTACTCTTCTTCTTCGCCTTTCTATTATTCTGTTTTGTTTTCCTATATATTCTTGAGGGATTGCAATTTCACTCACAATTTCCTTCATATCATCAATGATCTCTGAAGCTTTTTCTACAGCTTCTACACGAAGCCGAAGTTCTTCGCCTTGATCGCCAGCAGGAGTTTGTGCCTGAGGATGGCCTTGCTGGAGTACAGCGGGATGTAGAGACGAGAGATGCATGTGTTGGCCGTGGGAAGGTGAGTGTCATCGGCTGGACGAATGTTAACTGACGGCATCGGTTGGAATCCCTCTTCAGATGCCGGCAAAGCCGGTGAACCAGTCCAAAAGTACACCTGAAAAGCACAAATTTATGCTGTCAAAAGGGATTCTCTTTGCCAGAAAATTCCCATTGAACTCACCAAATCCTGCTTCTCCAGCGCACTCATCTTCTCCACAATGCTCCAAAGCCATCGCTTGAATTTCAGCAACTTGTCGCTGTTCTCATTGGACTCATCATTAAAATTTGTGTAGGAAATCAATGTTCCAACATGAATATCTCCCACGCCATTGAGTAGAAGGCGTAAATCTTCCGCTGTCAGTCGATCAAATGCATATTCCGGCAGAACGTCATACACACCATGTCGCAGTGCCTTTTGGAAGGAGAGGAGAAAGTGTTAAAAATACATTCACACAGCCCAACAACATGGGTTCATTGACACTCACCTCGAGGGCCTTCTCTTGTGCCTTTATCATACGAAACTCGGCATACTTCCGTACGTAATCGTATACATTTGTCTCATTCACTTGTAAATCCCGTCCGCCAGGCACCAATTCCACCGAACCGCCTCCCTCTTCGGGGCACAAGTCAATACTGCAAGCAGGTCAAACGCCTCATGATTAATTAAACACATTTCCAGAGACAAAAAATAAAAATAATGACCACTTACACAAAGTTCAGCTCCAAACTCATGAGAATCGACACACCATTCTTCGACTGCGAGTCCTTAATCAGATGACGCAGTGACTCATAAATCACCGGATCGAAGAATGCAAGGTCATGGAACCGTATCGGTCTGCCCAGGATGTATTTCAGCACGTGCCTCTGCAGAAACACGGGAAACAGTTCATTCTGCAGCAAGCACAGTCCAATCAGTCTGCAAAGGAGTCAAAGGAACATCAGTTAATCATATTCGACATCAGAAGATTCACTCCAACTCACCGTCCGATATTCCTAAATGCATTTATCCTTTCGTAAGTGGCGCACCCTTGACGAGGTGTGTAAAATCCTCTCTTTCCCGGTGAATAGAAGAGCGGCGCTGAATCATCCAGTTGACACTCTTCCAGCACAACAATTGGATTCATCTTCTTTGTCGGCGAGAAACTTCCTGACGCTTGACCACCTCCACTTGCGCCTGCTGAAGATTCACCCATGTTGGCATTGCCCGATGAGCTTCCACCGGAATTTTCTACACCCACGAAACAGAGAGTGAAATAGCTGCTGGGAAAAATCTCTACAATTTTACAAACTCACCTGGCTCCAGTCGCTGTCTGTAGATGATCACATCCATCGCCTCATTCGCCTTCTGTCGCAGCGTCTCCTCGGACGACACGAGCAAGAGCAGCTGAGTCGGTGGCAATTCCAGCAGCATTCCAGTGATCTTGGCCGCATGATTGGGATGCAGAGCATACACTCTAGGATACAGACGCTCGCCCATTTGCACGGTGATGTGATCAGTAGAGTTGGAGCCACTGGATCCCGCTCCACCGGCACTCCCTGAGCCGCCCGCCGATGATCCAGCGCCTCCCATCGCTGACAACGGAGTGTACGGTCGTGCATCGTAGTTGAGTGTCTTCCTCGTCTCGCGGCCAGGACGCCAGAGTGACTTGTTGGAGAACACACGACGCGCCGATGACGTTGACGCCGCCGACGTTGGCACTGCATCTCGTGCAGAAGATCCTGCGACACCACGATGTCTCAACATCGAACCAAATGGCACAGAATACTTACTTGGACCGACTTGCGCCGTCTCCAAATTCGGTAACTTCTCATTCGCCAATATCGCTTCGGCTATCGATGTGTAGAAACTGCGCACCACGCCTGAACCCTCGCCAGGTTCGTTGTTGAACACCACCTTCACACGATTGAATATCATCGACGGATGTAATCGTCTTGTCTGGTTGCCGAACTGCGTGTTCAACTCCTTAAATGTCTGTATGAGCAAACTCGTGCGATTTCTCTCCATCTTCGGCAATATCAAGTCTTTCTGTTGGCTATTGCGCAATTTCTCCATTGTACGCCGAAAGCGCGCCTCCTTCACGGGAAATCCACCCAATTCGCACACAATGCTGCCCGGCTCGAGGCCAACATCCTCCATGAAGACGCGACTAAAGAGATCCAGAGACAATCTCCATCGGCCCAGGAGAAGATCCGACGTTATCGGCTGACTGGCCACACTCGATCTGAAGTACAGACCACGCGGCGGCAGTTCGTGATGCATTGGTTGCTGAACTGATGGCGTTGTCTCGACAGTGACATGAGCTGAGATCTCCTGAGTCTCCATAGGATCTGGCTGCTGGAGCACTTCATTCGAATTGGAACAAGCCTATCAAGAGAAAAGATGCATTAGCAACGAAAAAAAGACAATCCTTCACTAGACACATCAATCGTGTTCACTCCGTATCTGTTCCCGAATCATTGGATTACACCATTCGAGCTCATTAGAAAGTGTTTTTCTTTGCTCTTGGGTTAGTTTGTGAGAGTCAGATCAATCATTGAGTATCAAGAACTGCCTCCGTATCTGTTTAGAACCCGCAATAGTGAAATAATCTTCGACTTACCGATGAGCCAGCACGCACAATCACACTCTTCGATGGCGATCCACTCGGTCCGGCAGCACTATTTGCTGGCACAGACGATGAACTTCCCTGAATGTCAAAGACTGAGAATGTCGTGGGCAGAAGAGTGATAGGAACTTCAGACACGCAGTCAGCAAGGCTGGCCTTCTTGTTCTTCGCCAACACATTGGCCGTCACAGACTCAATGGCGGCCGCCATTTTCCTCGGCGTCACAATAATTTGCGGACGAATGGATGACGATGCTGACGATGATGATTGAGATTGATCCTGAGATTCCTCTCTTTCCGCCATCTTCTGATTTGTCTCAGATTCAGAGTCTGAATCACTGACAGCATCATTCTCCGTATCGACATCCATTTTCGTTAGGCTCTCCTTGGAGCACGACAAATCCTGAGGCTCCTCGTCAGTCTGTGTCTTCGCCTCTTCGGCGGCAAAGTGATCATAGTACTTCCGCTTCTTCAGATGCACATACACATTGCTGGGGAATTCTGTGAGGGGGTTTTCAGCCGGTGGCGGTGGGGGATCTTTCGAGGGGCCCGCGATAGGCACAAGACTGGCATTCTCATTCACATCGTCAACCATCTTCTCCACCTCAGTCGCCACTTTGGGCATCTCTTGTTGACTCATCGACTCCTCGGCGATGATCTCGTCCGTTGGCATCATCTCGGGAATCACTTCAACATATCCCGGCGAAGCTGGTGTCGTGTTGATGCCAACAGACGACAGTCCCAGTCTTGTTGGCGGCACTTCTAGCGGTGAATTCACACCCGGTCGCTCACTTCCCACCGCAGGAACAGTCACTTGATGCTTCGGCATGGCGAACATGTCTTCGCGTCGAGCATTTGGCTGCAGAAGTTGCGGCTGATCGGCAAGTGGAAGTGCCTCAGCCATTGGCGTGTTGAATGGATCCGGAGCTGGACACCCGAGGCAGAGAGTCGAGTCTGATCTCTGGAAGAAGCCATGTCGACGCCCCAGAGATGGTCCCAAATCGTCATCCACAGAATCCGTCTCCACGCCCAAAGACGACGACAATTCATCTTCAGTCTCTTCATTGTCATTCTCATCCTGATCATTCCACCCATTGCCGTCATTCCTCTCCAGATCATGCTCAGTGGCTGAGCGCATGTAGAAGATAATGGCATCCAGAACATAGGCTATATGGCGAAGTGCTGTTATGTCCAGCACCGGCAGAGAGTCTCTATGCTCAGAACTGTGGGCACGCATGAGGGAGAGACAGTACGTGAGGAATTCCCTCCTAGATGGCTGAGAATCATTCCCAAGTCCGCTCACGCCTATTGATCCGCTGCCACTGCCGCTGGTCGGTGGATGATGCGGCGGATGGAGCGGGTGAAGGGGGTGAGACGGGTCTGCTGAATGCGTCAACGACGCACCAAATTTCAATTGAGCCTCCGTGGCATCCATCACGGTCAATATCCAGTCCCACGTGGACTTCAGTCGCACCTCAATGTAGCGCTGCAGCTTCACCGTGTCTTGATAGGTGAAGTTCAGCACTTGCTGCAACGGTGGCGTCTGCTGGAAGCAGTCTGGCGGTGTGTTGAGCAACTCCGATATCTGTCGGACAACACTGCCGAATGCCCTGGCCAGACAACTCGCCGTTGTGCCACCAGGATGAGGATCCTGCGTGGCACTGGCCGCTGTGGACCTTCGCAGCGCGGTGGGATCGATAAATACGAGATTCGATCCACCAGCAGTCAGTCGCACGCCTGAAGATCGATTGGAATCTCTATTCCTAATCGCCCACTGCATACTCTGCGGTGCCAAATTGTTCCTCTGATTTCCCGACGAGGCTGTCCTGCGCTCCAATTGCTCCTCGCCGAGAGTGTATGTGAAATCCTCTTGGGAATGCTCATCCGTTTCTCCATCCTCCGATCCATCATCGTCCGGCTGACTCGATTCTCCCGAATCATCTGGATCATTGTGTATAATGATTCGTGGAACAATACCTAAACATTGTAGAAAACTTCAGAATCCTTAAGCGCAAACGGATTGAGGACTATTTCAATTGTGCCACACTTTCGAAGCAAAAAAAACCAATTAAATTCCACCACAAGTGGAACCCATTTTGAGTGTGGCACAATTGAAATATTTCCTCTGCCATGAAATCTTTGTCACCTGTATCTGATCCCGCTGTGGCGCCTGTCTGCACACTCCTCTGGGCATCTTGTGTGCTCTGGTTGTCATCAGAATCGCTCTCTGTCTCGGCCTCGGCAAAATTGAACTCCGTGTCACTCTCACCCTCTTGGGCAGCCTCCTCATTCCGTCCCAGAGCGTCCTGCGCCTCCTCCTCCATATTGGCATTATTGGGACGAACATTCGATCGACTATCGCGCTCCATCACTTCGTCCTGCTCAGAGATTTCACCGTCATCCTGGCCAATGGCATCACCATCATTCTGGTCATCAATATCCCTCAAGCGTACATTAATCCTCGACATGAAACTCGGCTGCTGTTCACTGTCAATTCGCGACACCACTGCAGATGTTGACATTGTGCTGCTGTGACGCGTTGTGGGCGGCGCCAGAGGCTCCACGGAGAATACATCGTCAGAGTTCTGTAAAGAGAAGTTGAGCACACTCATTAGGCAATTAATCACAGAGATGTGAGAATGCAGAAACTCACGTCAGAATTGCTGGGCGAGAGTGTAAATGGCGCCGTTGGTCGCACAACACCCGATCTCACAGGAGCAATCAAAGCATCTGCCGTTTCGCACAATTCCTCAATGGAAATCTTCGTGAGCGACTGAAACACCCTGCGACATGTCATGATGTTACGATTTTGTGACTGTGGCACCTTCTGCTTGTCCGACACCGGCACACGTTCAATGCTGAAGATGACAAACACACGCGCCACAGATCTTATGAAGCGTCGCGCAACCTTCTGAGCATCATCAATTCGTCCCGGAATTCGATCATTCTGCAGCTCACGCACCAGAGTCATGAGGAGTGTATCGAGTGGCTCGTGATTACAGCACACAAAGAGACTGTGTGTGAATTTGTCCAGGAGATTTGTCCCACTCTGACTCTGAAGATAAAGCGACTGATTGTCCATCTCATCGTAAATTGTCTGGCCCGAAGATCGAGCGGCGGTTGGCTGAGGAGCTGCAGCTGTTGGCACTTCTTGTTTCTGCTCCACTCCCGTCATGATCATCGCTCTCACCGCCGCCCAATCCATTAGCAGTCGATCGACGGCCTTCTTGGCAAATCGCGGCGGCTCCAAATTATGCTCCGGCATGTCATTGTCCACATCCATTGACGGCGTCTTTCGCGAATTACTCGACGCCGGATTGCGCACCCTCGAGCTCGATCTGTATTGACTCTGTTCCGCCAATTGACGTCCAACCGTCTGAATGAGGAACAACAAAATAGACTCTCCGCGGGAATTAAACCGTGTCACCAAATCCGTGTCTGTGGCCAATTTACACAGCAACTCGAAGCGCTTCGTCTGATTGCCCGCAATTAGTGCCTTACACTTGCACTTCTCCCAGCAGTCGCAGTAGGCAGTCGGCGAGGTGCGTTTCACCTTGCAATCGTGACCCTTGTGACACACCTTGGCGCACTCTGTGCAGCAACACAGCGATCCCACCAGACCGCAAGTGCGACACTCAAAGATGTCCTGATTGATGTGATCAGCGCCCGTCCACGTGAAGGAGCACGTGTCATTGCAGCACAGCACATAGAGCGGTGACTGGTCGGGATTCGAGCCGGGCGGGAAGATCATTGAGTCTCTCAGCGTGGCATCGCCATTCGACAGCTGCATTATCATGTCGAAGAGAATCTTTCCCGCTTGGTAGGCACGTGTTGACACCGCCAGCATGAAAGGCGTCTGGCCCTGAGCATCCTTCCCGCTCAGCAAGTGCTTCAGATGCGGCTGCAGCGCTGGACTGGAGCACATGAGCGCCAGCGACGGAATGGCATTCTCCCGACGCTCACTCGCATCCGATATATACATGGCGCCTTTGTTCGATGACTGATTGGATGCAGCATTTAGGCCCGACAAGCTATCCTCATCACCCGAATTGGGATCATATTCTGGCGGCCAGAAAGTCACAGGCATAAAGTTGCTATCTTCCGTGCCAGCTTGCAAACCACTGTTATTCCCCGACGTGTCCATGTCACGATGCGTGGCCCGACGCATTATATCACGCAGACCCACCGTGCGACAGCCAGCAAATGAGTTCGGTATGATATTGATACACTCCAGTCCAGATCCACTCGCCGAGATGTCTTGGTCGTTGTCCTTATTCGACGACGGAGCACACATGCTCACGCACGCGTGAATAATATTCCTATTCCCATCGCATCGCTCCGCCAAAATGTTGCTGACCTGTGCCTTCAACTCGCCACTCTCCAGCTGCGTCAGAATGGATTTCACGCCCTTGAAGTCACAGCGCAGGATGCGCGGCATGAGGATTTGTCTATCAGGCACCATCACAATCACCGCCACTTGAGACTTCATATTTACGCCCACACTCGGAAGTGTGAGCGACGAGGCCGTGACACATTTGATGGGCGGAAAGTCCAACCACTGCGGATCTCGAATAGCATCCATGCAGTCCTTGGCCAGTGGATAAATCGTACTATTTCCATCTCTCAGCAGCAAAACACTGTCTGAACACTCAGAAGCGCACGTCAGAGACACATTGCGAGGCGAAATGCCCAAGAATGAGTTGATGTCGCTGGGAAAGACACTGTCCTGTTCCTGTCGTCCTGTATTGAGATTGAACAGAGAATAGTGCAACTTTGTGCCCGTTTTCATAATGGCATGAATGCCTTTCGAGTCTACTGCGAGTGTAAGCAATTGAGATCCATTGCCTTGCTGTTGTGTCGACAGGACAATTCGTCGTGGAATCTTCTGGAAGCAATCAGGACCCCTTGATGTGTTGGTTGACTTCATCACCTGCAGATCCTCCTTCTTCAGCAGCCGACAATTTGTCCACACGTCGCCCTCATCTTTGGGCTCAGCACTGTTGCTGCTCGGCATTTCAATGGCCGCATAAGCGCCGTCAATCTTCACCACACGCCCAACGGGAACAGTCTTCACGTCCTCAACGAACACCACATCTCTGAGTGTCCACAGCTCCTCGTCCTTCTTGTTGTCCGTGTCCTCCTTCGGTGCCATGCGCTTCTGCCGCTTGTGCGACGTCACACTTCCTGTGTCACTGCACGTGCTCGAAGCCGGAGACGGTGGCGGCGGCATGTCCATCCTATCAGCCGTCTCCTTGTTCGTATTGTTCCCAGACTTCGATGATGAGTTGCTGTTGCTGTTCTGCGTCTGTGGCACACCACTTCCGCTCGACTTTGGCAAGTCCTTGAGATCATTCGACGTGAGAATCCCCGTCGCGCTGCCCGAGCTGCTCGGCGGCAGCGGCACAGACACCAACTTGAAGCGACACGTGTCGGCAAACTCCCAGGCAGCGTTCAGCAATTGTCCCACTTTCGGCACGCCATTTGAGATTGTGAACCCAATGGCTCCTGGCATGTACATTGGCGAACTCTTCATACACACCTGAGCGCCCACAGTCACCTCCGGCGCGTTCCCACTGTTCCTGATCGGCTTCTTGGTCTTCGCCTTATACTTGTCCCACAGTCTCTTCCGCTGGCCGTAGGGCAGAACGCCCCACCAGTAGAGACCGCCGCTGTCCGTGCGCGCCACTGTGTAAAGCGTGCACGTGTGCAGCGACACAATCTTCTCCAGCGCCAAATCGGGCAGTGTCTGCGGACCGTGCTCCAACTTGCTCCCAGCGTGACCAAGCAATTCGTCCATCCACGTGGCGACGCGATTGCTCTCTGTGCCCACAGTGCAGCGAATGGACGTCGCTGAGATGTGAATCACCTTCTCAAATGTTAGATTGAGAGCAACGGTCTTCGGATGATGAATGTTTGGGTTCTGCAACAGAAAAATTACAGAATTAGCATTTAACTGAAAAACTTTATAATATTTCTCACCTCCAGATTCCTGTAGGGATCCTGATCTCCCCAGCGCCACTGGTGAAGCTCTCCCTTCGCCGTCACGCCGATGAACTCGGAATGCAGACAGGCAATCTGGGTGAAACGCGGCGCGGAATCCTTCTCTGGCCACGCTTCCAGTTCGTCAGAAATCCACAGCGGCAGTCCTGAGGCCACTTCCTTCTTCTTCGTCTCTGCAACACCTCAAGAGGGACTCCTCAGTAACACCACACAAACTCTACCCCAAATCTCTCTACTCACCGGTCTCCTTGTCCCAGGCGGACTCCTCGCGTGTGGTGTGGAACCACCGGCGCGGACCGAAGTAGTGCCTGTCGCGCCAGCGACTGAACGAGTCGCGGTCGGCTGACGCAACGCCACTGCCCGACCCTCCGCCGCCCGAGCTACTGCCGGCGCCTGAGCCGGATCCGCCACCACTTGCGCCGCCGCCGCTGCCACTCGCGCCGCCTGCTCCGCCACCAGACCGGCTGCTGCCGCCCTCGGCGCTGGGATTGGCGCCGCTGCTCTGATTCCTCTCGTTGCGAACACGACTGTATAACAAGCTTGTTTCAGAAAGTGAAACAATATAAATATCTTTAGGTTAGTTTATGATGCAAGCAAAATGAAGGATCTCCAGGTGGGCGGCAGCGTGTTGCCAAGCCCATCAGAGAGAGAAAGAAGGGAGGATAGAAAGGATATGGAGAGAGAGACACACATTTTCCATGAAATCAACAACCAACTAAATATACTGAACAGTGTTGAGAAAATCATAAAGGATAAATTATAAGCTACAGGATTTTGGATATTCGAGTGTTAGGAGAGGAAGTTGTGAAATAAAAAATTGTGATAAAATTAAAACATAAAGTATGAAATGCTGCGTGATTCTTTCGCGATATGCGATTTTCTCGTGTGATTTGGCGCAACAGCTCTTCACTTCTCATCAACAATCTCCACTATATCGTTCTCTGCCGTAACTCACTTGCGAATACTCGAGTAACCGAAGATTTCCTCGGAAAATGACGCATCGGCATCGATGATGATACTGTTGTCTGTATGAAATCCATTATCGAGAAGGGATATCAAGTCCTCTGGAACATAATTCTCACCACCTTCCTCAGTGTCTTCACCTTCCTCGTCGTCACGCGATAGTAAATTATTTACTGCAAGATTCACATCCAAATTCGTGCGCTATTTGCCAAAAGGAGAGAAAGAGAAGGAGCGGTATAAGTTGAAAATAGTTGAAATATGTGCACATAATTTGTCATATCATTTGTCAATTCACTCAGCAGTGAACGTATGAATGAAATAGAGGTTTCTCAGCTCTTGTATCGCCTCGCTATTTCGCAACAACTCTAAATTCACGGTGCAAAATATGTCCCGAACATTCCTGAACACGATAGTTGCTGAGTCAAGTGACAAATTCACGTGGTGTAATAGAAGAGAACTGAATAAGGCGGATAGAAACCTGCAATTCCCGGATGATGACGTTGCGACTCTTCCCCTGGAGCACCATTTGCGCCTGCGAGACGAGTTCCTCCGGAACGAAGGGCGTCGGCACCGTCACCATGGACCGTCCAGAAGATCCGCCACCGATGATCACCCCAGTGCTGCGCGAGCCGCTTCCGCCCCGCACAGAAGCCGTGCGCATGATGCGAGCACGCGACCTGGCCAGCTGCCTCGACGTTCCCGGCGTATTCTTCGACCCACTCGACGAGTTGTTGGCGATGCCGCTGCTGCCGCCGTTGCTTAAGAATCAAAAGTAGCATTTTCCATTAGTATTCAGACAGACAGATTATCGGTTTGACTAATTACTTCTTCGTCGGTTCATGCTTGCTCAGGTCCAGGCGCTCGGGAATGACGGAGAAAGCCACCCGAAATGCCCGGCCATCCTCCAGCAGCAGCCCGAGATGCGTGGGTCCAATCACCACCTGCTTCACGGGGATCTTGAGGGAGGCCAAGGCGGCCGGAGTCGGCGATCCATACTTATTGATTTTGTCTGCAACTTCGCGTATTCTGCAAGAGAACAGGAAGGTGAAAAAGTGACCACGTTTCGACATGTGCGGAATTTGTTCGCTCTCTCCAGCCAAAGTGGCCGCTTCCGGACATGGGAGCCCCGAGGGGGGCTCCCATTCGCGTGGAAAATGTTTAGATTTGGGAGCGGAAAAGCCCCAGAAAGAGCAGCAGCGGACAAGTGCTGCGTTGGACATCCAAATGGCTGCACTAGAATCGCCATTATATCATTTGTGGGCCCGTATAGAGGCGTATATGGAAGAAAATGGAATTTTTGCTCACCTATCATTGAGCTGATCTTCGGTGCCAGGCAGAGGATGGACCACAAAATGCAGTGACGACATCTCTGCTGGTTCTCAATTCACCACCAAATCAATCTCAGAGTCTTTCTCCACAACTTTCACGCACTTTCAGCTCTCCACATCACTGAGAAAGGGCTCAAATTTCGTGAAAAACTTCTTCCTTCAGCTTGCCTTTTCACACACTGTCGAAATGTAGTAATGGCGTCCCGTGACAGCTGTCAAATACGTTTGACCGATACTGGCCGACTGCCCGGAAATTCACAGCACAATCACCGCGGCGCTGCTGCTGCGAGACAAACCCTCAGAATTCAAGACACGGTTTTCTCAAATATGCACACGCACAGATGAGATTCTCCACCACAAATCACTTCAATAGCTCCTTAGAGACAAATTTCACTTATTTTCACGCTTTTCCCAGCGACACAACTGCGGAAAAACACCTTTTGCAATACACCCAATTCTATTGTTTTCATTCCTACGACTGTTTGCCAAATGTGACCGATTTCCGGCCGATCATGTCCGACGCGTGCCATAAAAAACATCCGATAGGCTGCTATAAACCTAACCTGTTTGTTTAGCGAGAGAAAAATAGACTTTTTCTTTGGTGGATTTTTCTTAAAATTTCCCAATGTCACAGGTTCACGAGACTCCTCTGTGATTACTACACATCTGCCCAGTCTTATTCCAATTCTACGAGAGTGAAGGCAAAGTGCGAAGAGTTTCTGGACCACATCAAAATTGGCATTCCCTCAGCGGCGCGTGAGCAATAGAAATCATGTCGCTAATTGCTAAATTATCTCGCTTTGTGCGAAAGTCACCCCTCGCGGTGCAAGTAAGGCTGAGGAATGTGAGGCAGCTGTCGTCGGGGTATCAAAAGGCGCTGGCGAAATACCCGCTGCTCACACAATCAGTCCAGACGGGCATTCTTATGGCTTCGGGGGATTTGATTGCCCAAACAGTGGTGGAGAAAACGAGTATAAACAAACTGGATTATCTCCGGACGGGGCAATTTTTTGCCATTGGACTGTGTATGGCGGTAAGAAAACATACTAATGGGTAAATATTTGAATTCAGGATGATAAAGGGAATTGAATTTCGCCTAGTGCTTGATTTTTACAATTGCGTCTTCGATTTACTTCATGGACAAAAATCGATTTCTATCCTTATCAGAGCATTGCAATATTGCTTCTCCAGGAAGCGACCTGAGCGAGTTGAAGTCGCAAAAATGCCCTCTTATCTCTAATCGCTACTCAACGTGATTCCTTTGTCTTCCAGGGACCCGGATTGAGATTCTGGTACGGAATTCTCGATCGACACATCCACGGACGGAGCGTGAAGATAAGAACGCTGAAGAAAGTGGCTCTGGATCAGCTCGTCTTTGCGCCAGTGTTCATGATGGCCTTCCTGGGCGTCGTGGGCGCAATGAAGGGTCAGCAATTGCCTCAGATCGAGGAGAAAATCCGCGCGGACTATGTGGACATCCTCAAGACAAACTACTGCATCTGGCCATGGGTGCAATTGGCTAATTTCTCCGTGGTGCCGCTCAACTATCAAGTATTAGTTGTACAGTTTGTTGCCATATTCTGGAACACATATTTGTCGTGGAAGACGAACAAGGGCCACGAGAATCTTGCCATGTCGACATGAGAAATATAATATAGAAATTAGAGAGCGCAATTGATTTCTACAATCAAGAAATGATTAATCTTTTAATCAATTGACAGAGGTACACAATGATTTTTTGATTACGAAATTTTCTCTTATTTTCTCTCACTGGAATACAATATTTAATCGTGCAACAGACATAAAATAGTAAATATAGTTATATTTTCACTTTGAAGTCAGATGATAGAAAACAAGATTTTTCACTAGTATTCACTTGTGATGTGTAGGAAATATGCACAATAAATCCAATAATTATTACACAATTAGATCCCAATTTTTATCATGTTCCTAAATATTATAATCGTCTTTTCTCTTACGTATATCAACGCAAAATGTTGCCAATCATTGTATTCACGAATTGAACACCGTCGCATCATTGTGCGAAATTACAAATTTTGGTATTTTATCTTTTAGCATCTTAATACGTGATAATTAAAATAAATTTTCTCTAATGTTTTGGTTTATTCTCAAATTTTTTTTTCTTCATCAATTTTTCCTCTTCTCACTGTGTAAAAAAACTACCTAAAATATATTATCAATGTTATGTAGATTTTCCTCTATTTTTTTTTCACTTATTGTCCTATAAATCTATTGATGAAATAAGAGCGGATAAATAAATTAATGGAAAGAATTACACGATTGTGATAAACTATATGAAACGGTGGTTTTATGACTCTGTCTCTTGTTTCATTTTTTTCTTTTCTTTTCACTAAAATATATATTGAGTAATTTCACTATATTTCTTACAATGCCTTCAACTGGGAAACGAGGATCGAAATTGAATAGGAACTAATTACAATTTTACTCCATTACTGAAATGAGCTTCACTCAGAGTCGCTACTAAATGCAAAGAAGTTCTGTTATTGTATAATTCTTCTAAGATTTCCACATGGGAAACTCATCTAAAATATCCTCTCTTTCTCTCTCTACAATTATGTTAATTAATCTTATTACAGGATCGTTCTTCTAAGTAGAGAAACTGAATAAAAAATTATAAAAGAAAGATCTTGAAGAATTTCTTTGGATCATTTCGCCTTAAAATCCCATGCAATTTGTCGTCGTTTAGCTTTTATAGAACCCTGTATTGTAGTGAAATACAAATTACGTGCATAAAATAATGTTGCTTTCTCTGTTTACGGTTAATCTTCTAAAAAAATAGCTGATAGTTAAATATGTTTCCTTTTTCTCTTTTCCCCTCTCAAATCTGCCTTTCTCACAACTACAAACTATTAGTGGCAAGGTTGCATTCTCATCTCCGATAATGCATTAGATAACATTTGGTCTCGAAAATCTCAAAGATGACATAACTTCTTCTTTAAATTGATATACTCACACAGATTTTCTGTTATTCCATAAACAACGAAAAATATACAAAAATCACACAACATTTTCTCGAATCACAAAAGTTCGATTTTACCAAACAAATCATCGCCTTTTACTTTCATCCTCTTTCTCTCTCTCTTTCCTTCTCAAAACTCTCTCAAAACCAAGAGTATGACTGTCAATTGCAAACTAAAGTAAACACTCTTTTGAGTCCCTTTTCTCATCTCAACAATTTGAGGAAAATTGAACTTTCAGGTTGGCCGTTAGTGTCGATTTATCTCCGCTTGGTGTTGCACTATCAGTATAACCATTATTATCAAGCGCAGAGATTCGTGAGCTTTTCGTTTTATCATCTTTGCAGTCCATAAAAACTTTCCTTCACCTCTTCTGGCAATAAAACTGACTCATCAGCACGCGAGTTTAGGTCTTTTCGGTGGTCGAAGGGGTTGTATTACTAGTCGTTGCCGTGTTAGCAGCCTGTGATGAATTGACTCCACTGGGACCAGCCTCGGGCGATGGATTATCTGCAGAGGGAGCGCAGAGGACACATGTGAGCTAATCATTGGAGCTCATTCTCCGGGGAAATCACGCGGGAGTGCATTTATTTACCTGAAGTCGAGAGTGCACTGAGGCGCTCCGGCAGGTCCGCTGTGCTCGTCCTGCAGTGATCGCTCAGAATGTCCGGGAGGGCATTTCTTCTGCCCACGCGTCCGGAATTGTAGAACTCAGAATTCTCATCCGCAGCACCTGCACCAGCACTTTCGTCCTTTTGAGTGTCCATTTTCAGGAGTTTCAGCACTAAATGACACAACAGGAGAGGAGATTTTACACTCACTGTTTGCTAACACCACACATAATCTCACAGAGCATTAATATGTTGTGAAAGAAGCAGAGAGACAGGCACAAAAGCATACACACCAGCATGAGTTAGACAAATAAAAAGCATTGTATCCAACGTGAAAGAATTATCGATAGAATCGTTAGTGGCGTTATGGATTTCACAAATTCAATAAACAATCATATACCAAACATATAAAAAGAGATGATAAAAAAGTTATAAAAGAATTGGGCGAAATGGCAATTCACGCTCTCAGACGCGCCTTCATCCGACACTCTCAGCAATTGAGGGGGACTTTTCACTCCTTATAAATTCACTCTTGCTGACGAAGCTACAGAAAAGTGCCAGCGTGAATCCACTCTCCCTCGCGTCTCGGCCACACACTCGCTCTATCTGTGTCGCTCTCTAGCAACAAGAGGCGGGAATGGAGCAAAAATCCATGTTGCGAGAGATGCGGGATGACGGACGCTCTACAGCAAAAGCTACACAGTAAACATCCCATACACTCCTGGCAATATTTGCCGTTCCGCCACCCCTCGAGCTTCACACACGAGGATTATCCGAGAATTTATTACTCGGAAATACTGGGGCTTTCATGGCACGCGTTGTTTCCTTGTCGGGTCAACAGCGGAGGAGTTGGCAAAGAGCTTCTGCTGTTCAATGGACTTACAAAGCAGTGATTTACTGAATGATCTTCAGAGATTCACTGAAGAACCAAGCTTGAGCCGTCATTAGTAGCTTTTAGGAGTACATTTTCAACCCTGATTTAAAAATTATTTCTAATGATTATTTCAAGATTTTCCTCAGCTCACATAAACCGTGTAGACTTAAGGTAATTTGTATTTGAAATTTTTTTCTTGCCTTGTTTGATTGTAAAAAGAATTAGGCATATTGAAGTTTTAAGACTTTTCTAAAGGCACTGAATAAGAACCAATCAGGCTTCGAAGGTTGCAAAGAACAGATGCAAATAGAATTGAGCTTTTTGTGTGAATACATTTCACGCTTTTTTACGTTTTGCATATTTTAGCGAACAATAAAATAAAACTGTGATATTTTAATAATTCATCGCGCAGTGCAAATGCGAATATTTTATCCCTCAGTCAGAGCGAATGCAAATAGAATCCTCTGACCCGCGGGCATCGGAACATTGCATAAACCGCATAAACTCTGCTTCTGTGCGGAAACATAAATATCGCCGAGAGTGTACAGCATTGCCACATACAGACGGGACACACAAGCGCCTTTCCAAGGGTGTCCAACACTATTTCTGTGTATGCACACACGGAGGACAGCGCGAAGAGGATGTCGAGAAGAGGGAGAGAGTTATTGATCGGCAAGTGATTTTAGTTTCATTAGTTTGCAGTGGCCACTTGGCCTGCATCTGCCCAAAAAGTGGTTAATTGTCAGTCCATCAACTATATCTAGGATGTTATAATCTTCTGCACACAATGTACCTTTCAGTCTATTTAACTTTCTTGACAGGATTCTCCTTGCAATTCTCCCTGTTCTCTTGTATGCCGTTGCCTTCATCATTGTCGTTGGCATCTTTTTCCGTTCCACTTGCGCTCTGTCTTTGTGTGGATATTGTTCAACAAAAGAGAAGCACGAGTGAGGAGAGAGAGAGAGTAGAGAAGAAAAATGTGCAAATGATGTGAAACAATGTGCTCTACATGCTGCAAAACTCCAAATAATAATATTGTCCTAATGTTGATGATAAAAAAGCTGTCGAGAGGCGGCAGAAATGGTGAGCGTCGCTCGCTTTCCTTGCCTTACCATCTGACCCTGGCCTCTTCACTGCCACTCGTGCGACTCGCTCTCCCAAGCCTGATTACTACTTCTCGATGGTGTGTGAATTTTCGCTACTTTGCCACTTGCAAATTTGCCCAGAGATTTACTGTGTCTCAACGTCTTGTGTCGCCGTCTTATTGCGCTCTCTCCGCACTTTGCCTGCGAACGCCGGTAATTGACGTCATTGTTGTCGTATAGACTCTGGAAAAGAAGACACACAGAACGGATAAGCACTTCATTTGCAATTTTATAACAGATCGTAAAAATGATTGAGGAAAATCGTCATTTTGCGTGCAACGAGCGTGGTGTGAGTGGGTGGAAGTGTCCCTGAAGTTGTTTCCCACTAAAAAAACACACCCCATCTTCCCCACTGCACCGCCACCCCTGAGCCAAGGATCACCCCTGCGCAGCGGAGCCCCAGCATCGCTGTCCTGCAGCAGGAGAGGCGGAATAAATAATAGAGAGGCTGCGAACTTGCGCTTGTTTACAATTTCATGGCCCAAGTGTGGGGGTGGAGAGAGCAAAAAGGATGGTTTTTCCTCACCCGAAAAGCGCCCCGTTCTCCAGACACTGCCAATTACACGCTACACCATTCCCTGCCACACGCGTGAATTATTAATTTGAGACTACCAAACACTGGAATTCACTACTCGCTATCGATTAAAATTGATTTTGTGTCTCACAAAAATAATCCGTGTGTTTTTCACGCTCTGACAGCTCACTTTTTGACGCTTCACTCTTCGCCGCGCGTTCGCCGCGTTATCGCACTCATCGATTCGTCTCGTCGCGACAGTCGATGAATTCACCACGGAAATGCCAGCTAATTCTCGGGGAATCTGTGATTCTCCGGGCCAAGTTGGAGCAGGTGGAATCACATTCTATAGAAACAACACAGAGCCCCTTAAGAAACTTCATAACAATTCACCGTTCGATTGCAATATCTGTGAGCGCTCTCAGGTGAATCACTGTGGCAAAGTGTTTTCCTTGGACCGAAAATAAAACAGTGCGGAAATCCGTGGAAATTTGGAAAAATGATAGTGTAAAGTGGGCGCCAGTGCTGTATGTTAGGCTGTCGAAGACTGCGAGTGCTGGACAAAATGTTTGGGAGGCTTTCCGATGCGCTTCACACTGCTGCAGATGTGGTACTGGCATTGCACAATCCATTGATTCCCTCCTGGCCTGATTAACGCACACCTTGAATTTTCAGCTGGCTCCGCCGCCAACGCCCCTGCAAGACTTCGAGTACCACTGGCGCATCGTCAAGACGTTCTACTCGGTGAGCCAGGATCTGCCCAAGGTGCACATCAGCAACACGAATGTTCCCGTCCACTTGGAGGAGATGCTGCAGATCCTGGTGAGGGAGCAGAGCGCCGAGGCGGCGGGTCTTATGGCGGGTCCTAGGGAGTGTATGGACCACTTGCTGACCACGAATCCCTTGGAATTTTTGGTGGAGAAGTCAGTCTCGGACACTCCGCCAGGAATAAGAATGCACACAATCTCCTGGCTCAGGAGGTTTCTTTCTTGTCTGGAGAATCCGCCCATATCGCATGGTAGCATTTTTCAACCGGTGCAGAAGCTCCTGTCGCTGTGCCAGGGCAACGGGTCACCATATGAGAAGGAAGAGATCCTCTTCCTCACCACAGTGGCCGCTGTGGTGCGCAGGAATCCGTGGCATGTGAATCTGTTCCTGCCATCGCATCAGCATTTACTTCCCCTCACGTCAACCCTCAGCGGGATGGCGCCCGCGAAGCCCCCAACGGGAAACCCCCTCTTCGATTGCTCCAAAGAAAAGGCGAAGAGGATTTCCTTCGTGCCAGACATCAATGCGCCCTCGTCAAGTGACGATCAGGCCAGCCAGCAGGATCCTACGATCTGTGATATCAACTGTAGTCAACGGGACAGCGTGTCCAGTGGAAAGATAGCCTTTGGCTGTGATTGTGACGAGAAGGAGGACCGTTTCACCCTCTTGGATTCGATTGTTCTGTACTTGGATAGTCCGGATCACACCATTGTCGTGCGAGCTGGCGAAGCTGCGCTCATTCTCACGTCTCTGCCGACAATTGACCTCTCTTGTGGGGCCATGAAGAGCAGTCTGGACACTTTTGGGGACTTTCTCATGGAGAGAGTGTGGCACTTCTGCCGCAGGATCCCTGAAGATATGAATCCCGAGGATATTGAGGACGTCAACGTGTCCTGGGGATTGACGCTTCGCGACTCTGATGTGCCGGAGTTCATCGGGCGTCCTCAGCTGGTGGAATTCCTCGCGTGGCTCGACTATGCCGACTGCGTGGCGAAGGAGTGTGAAAATCTCCATCCGAACATGAGTGAAAAGTTCAGAAGTCTGATACTGGAAAACGCCATTGAGCCTTACCTGCTGGACGCGAATGCTGCATTCACGCTCCTCCTGACTGCCAAAATAGTGCGCCAAATTCACTCTGCGGCGTTCATGAATGAGATCGCCACGTGGCTTGTCGCTGAGGAGAACATCTCAGCGATTGTGGGCGGAGATTGCCTGCTGACGATTCTCATTGAGAATTGCCAGTACAACACTCCGCTTGTGTTCCACACGCTTCTCTTCGTCGAGGCCTTACTGGAGAATCCCAATGAGCGAATCCTTCACGGGCTGCTCTTCTGCTACCTCAACCGTCGCGGCTATTGCGATCCTTCAGCGCAGGTCACGCAGACGTGGTCTGACGAGGAGGATGAGCGCCACAGGAGGCGAGGAAGTGCCACAATTGCCGTGAAATCTCGCACTCTGGCGCCCAGTAACATCATGAAGATCATTAACAACTTCCTCCTCCTCCTGCCCAAGCAGATGCTCAACGAGAGCGTGGGCACGTGCTACGAGGAGTATATGAAGGACGCCAATCAACACTACAGGACGTGGATCAAGAAGACAGAGCACTTCAATTGGCCAGTAGAAGCTGTCTTCCCGGAGAAGGATGATCTCACACCCGAGTGCGTTTCCCCCATTTCCGGGGCTATTGTTCCCAGTCGAGGACCAAAGAGGGAATCCCAGTGCAACGACAGTGGCATTTCCGAGGAGATCTTCAGCGAAGGGCCGCTGCTGAAGCTCCTCTTCAGGCACATCCGCAACATGGCCAATCAGCCGTATGAGTTCAATCTCGGTGTGATTGCTGTGATGTCGAAACTGGCTCTGCTGCCGCATCCTTACCTGCACGAGATCCTGCTGAATCCGGAAATCGCCGTGACGCCAGGCGCTTCGACGCTGTGGACTGTGCTTCAGGACGTGGCTAAGCAACTGCTCATGGAGATTCCGCGAATCGAGGGCTTTCAGCAGAAGATAGCGGAGACTGAAGAGCGACTCCTGACCAATCCTCCACTCATCAGGTGAGATTTTTTAATTGCTTTTTCTTTACTTGGCTCAAATTGCAAGTTAAAATGAATGAGGAAAGCTGGAGAGAATTGAATTTACTTAAGCTCTTTTCATCATTCTGCAGTGAACCGTCTGACAAGAATGAGACACTCTTCGAGGCCATTGTCGTGCTGAAGGAGTTCTGCAAGGAATTAGCTGCAATCGCCTTCGTCAAGTACAATAGATCCACTGAATAGTGATGTCTTCTGTGCACGTGCAACGTGCAGAGTGGAGAATTCATTTGCGTCTCCCACACAATCGAGCGATTTTCCGCGATCATTGGTGAAGGGTGAATAAAAGATGCTATTTAATTTCCTGTGTTAACTAATTTTATTAGTTTTTCAACTCAATTTTCCGACAATTTCATTTTATATTCTAACGTGTATCATATACCATCTTTCTATAAACGTTTATGCTGTAGAATTGTATAATAAGGGTGTAACAGTGTTAAATTTAAAATTCAATTCATCTCCAGCAGGTGTAATATATATAGAATAATGCAATTGAATATGTACAACAATCAACTCCTTATAAACAAAGAGAAATCTATTCCTCCGCAGAGTGCAAGAAAGGTAAAGTAATTTAATATTAGAACAGAGAAGTGATAGTAAAACACTCGTTTCTCGATTATATACATAAGAATAATAATAATAATAAAAAAAATGATTGTGTAAGATTCTAGTTAAAAGCAACAACATTAGATGTTTTATAAACAATGCGTAATGTAGATTTTTGGTTTCAGGTTTTTGTATATATTTTTTTGTCCACTGGTGTATGGCAATATTGTAGTTTAATGGTAAAAAATATAGCACAAAATTAATTTGCTCTAAATGATCATTGCTGTTAATTTGCAAATACATAACTATGGAATGAACATTTGCAGATTCCAGCCGTGAAATATGCCGAATTTCCCATGCAATTTAGTCATTTTACAGATGAAGCTATTTCACTCTATGCAAATATGTTTTCACTCTATGATTTATTTATGAAAGTGGTTTTGTAAATATTCAATATTCATTCAATTCACATTAGACAAATGGCTATTTTGTAGTAAAGTTACAAGTATATTAATTCCTATCATTTCTGCGCAATCAGTTGTATATAGAGTCATGTAAAATAAATCTGATTCAAATCCGCCCTTTTGCAAACTCTCCCTTTCTCTTCCTCTCTCTCTCTCTCTATTTTCTCATTTTTGGGACAATCTTCACATTTAATCTGATGTGACTAGTAAGAACTCTTTTTCACTAAACAAAGTATAATTCAGTTATTAAAATATAACTTGTATATAGAAACTATCGATTATTATTTATGTTCTCTTATAGAAAGAAAAGAAAAAATTATTGTATTGGTCAGTTACATTTTTACGTACTACAGTTTCTTCTTCACTCAAATTGAGTCCCTCTCTAAATATAAAAATTACTTTGGAGTAAAATATATTATTAATTTCATGCATCCTTGCAGCGCGGTGCTAAACTTATATTTCTCGTGAAATATTCAGCATGTTCCTTAGTCATTGCGAAAATGTATTAAATTTTATGTAGATTTTTTTTGTGATATTACACAGGAAAAGGGATCCTGAAAGTATTAAAATGATATGAATTTTCATTAGGATTCTATTATCTCTTTTACATTACACAATTTGCATAAGATAATCAGTACTGAAGTGATGTGTTTTGGGTTGATTTTTTTTCCCACTTTGCGCTTCGCTTTTCCACCCACTGTCTTGAGATGATTTAACACGGAATGGCACGGAGAAAAGACGTTGGTTAACTGATGGAATTCTGGTTTTACTAACATGCAACACTCATTTATCGATAAATTACACATTCAATTTATCTTCCTTAATAATTTTTCATTCACATATTTGCTATATTGTTTGATTAATTTGAGTCCCATGCTTATTAGTTGATATTCTTTATCTAAAAAAAACATTTCTATTTCGCAAGGGTGGGTTTTTTGCCTTAAAAATTCCTTCAGTAATTGCATTGTGATCATTTTGGGGAATTGTTTCGTGAAGTATTTCCAAAAGAATTCACTGCTGAGGGGAAGTTCAAAAGAATTTTTCGGTTCCTCCCTCATTAGCCAACTTTATGACGAGGTTAACATATAAATACAGTGTAATTGAGACGATAAATTCTCAGGAATTATTTACAATTTGCAGTGTGTAGAATTGATAAAGTGTCTTCAATTTAACTGCCTGAATTACACTGATGAAAATTAAGAAGTAAAGTAATGCAGCTGTTCCATAGTGTTCCAGGGAATTTAATTAGTAAATTCCATGCCTTCAATTCTATCTTGAATGCCTTGAATGTGAAAATCAGATCACTCTCAGCATGAATATTTCAGTCATCCAGTGCAATCCAGAGCACACTTCTTTGCAATTACACAAATTAGTCTACACAATTTTGATTCACATCCTCGACAATCATAAAAGTAACAGTTTCTCATTACAAAATAATGCACCTTGATGAGTTTCTCGAATTATCCGAATAGCGATCCGCCCTGGAGACCGGCGGCTATCTACAGAGTTACGGAGAGAAGACGCGAAGACTGCGAAGGAGAGTGGCTAGCATGTTGGCCAGGCATTCCGCCTGCAGAGCCAACTGACCAGCCCCGAGCACACCAATCTTCACGCCCGCCAACTCGCGGAAGCTCGACGCCACGTCGTGCACTTTAAGCACAATGTTGCGCGTCTGAAGGGGCGAAGAGGTATGTCTGGTCATGTCCTGGGCCAATTCTGTTATCCTGCGCAGAGCTGTGAGACAGGAAGTGAGGTGTTCGGGCAGGGAAGCCATCGAGGGATCACTGAGAGCGACCACGAGCAGTTTGGAGGCTGTGACGAGAGACAGCGCTTGATCAGTGAGTTCGTCGCGAGCCGCCTGGAATTTGTCCTCGTCAATGGAGATTCCGCCGCCGGCAGCCTGGGCGGCTGAGCACATGGCAGCAATTTGATCCAACTTCACCAGAAGTCCCGCCATGGCGACGTCCGTCTTCGCCAGCAGGGTTTCTGCGCTCATCACATGGCCATTCTTGGAGCTCAGCTGCGGAGATCCTGTTGGTGAGGAGTTGCTAGAGAAAGAGCTGTTGTTGGCTGTTCGGCGCATTAGCAGGGGTGAGCTGAGGAGCGAGAGCTGCGGTCGACTGTCCTTGGGTGGATTCTGCAGACACACTGGCGGGCAGTCGCTGTTGGAGCGATTGTGTCCGTTCGCAGTGCCCCTTCCTGACGACGTCGGCGAGGAATCTGTGCTACTGCTGGTGTTGAAGGCTCTGTCAATGTCCTTGTAAGTGTTGGGATGTCGATGGAAGTGCGGTGAGTTGATTCCCGCCACACGAACTGGAGAGCTCTTCTCACTGCCACACGGAGGGATGTTCTTGAGAATGGGCAGAGGACTACGGATATTTGTAGGCTTTGCGGGCACCGGTGGCAGAGGCGGCTTCTTGGGCGGCAGAGTGGCCAGAGCCGGTGGATTGTGGTTGTTCTCCTCGAAGCGTGGCGGCAAATGCGGAGGATCCATCTCATAGTAGCTGCTTGTGGATGATGAGTTGCTGCCGCCCCCGTTGAGTCTTGGCGATTGCGGTAGACTCCTCGAGGGTGAGTTCAGCTTCAGCTGCAATCCCACGCTCTTGGGCGGCCGTTCGGGGATGGGAAATGCAGTGTTGTGGAGACACATTCTGGGCGGAGGCGTGAGAACTCCTGACAAATTCTGAGGGTTCTTCGGCACTTCGTCCTTCTTGGTCTTGCTGCAGCATGAGAATGGACCCTTCCTGTCCACTGTAGAGTACTCGATGACGTGATTGTTCTGGCTGCTCACCGGCACTGGAATCACGCCGTGAACACTGGTATTGCTGTAGAGATTCTCCGTGGGGAAGCTTCGGGGCATCGTCGACGGAATGTTTCCATTGCATTTAGTCGCTGAGCCATTCTCTCTGACTCCATTGCTTGGCACAGGCGGTTCAGTCTCTTTCGTTCTCCCGTCGCGCGCCTCCTCATCGCCCAGGCCAGGCGGTGGCGGGATGATGAAGGAGAGAATCTCCTCGGGAGTCAGCTCCTTGGCTGGTGTGACTTTCTGCGTGGGCGGCGCGATGATCACCTGCGCGAGGAACTTCTCCAGCTCGTCCTCGTCCTTCGGCAGAGCCTTGGCGGCGTCTCCAAAGCCCATGGGCGCTGCGTCAATCACCGACAGGGCGTCGAGCTCATCGGGTGTCTGCGGAGGGGGTATGGCTGTTAAATCTATTAAATCGGGATCAGTCTCAATGAGTGTGTCATCACAGAGTTCGAAACCATAGAGTTCGGACAGTTTCTTCGCCGCCAGATCCGTGTCAGTGCCACTGCCGTCGTTGTTGCTCGCCTCGCGAAGCTGCCGGAGGTACTCCTTGAGATTGGTGTCCTTATTGTCGCCCCCGAGCACGGAACTGTCCGGACTGTGGAGGCCGAAGCTGGTTCTTATTGTCTTGCTATTGCCGCTGGTCTGTTGTCGGTGAATTGGAGAGCTGTTGGGCGAGTACAGGGACTCTGAGTCACTCTCACTCTGCGAGCAGTCCGTTCCCAGAGCCTGCAGATCACTCAGGAGCTGACTCAGTCCTTGCATGCGACGCTGCACTTTGGGCGTTCCCTGCTGCGATTTCCCATTCACCTCAGCGAATGGTGAGCCACAGATAGAGTTCAAGTCATTTGTGATCCCCGTGAGATCCTGGCTGATGCACTCCGCCAGGAGTATCAAAGAATCACTGTGCTTCAGCGGAGCCGGAGCGGAATCTTCGTTGGAGGACAACTTGCTGCTGTTCATGCTGTCGCAATCGCTGTCCAAATCCACACTGGTTTGTCTCCAAGGAAGTCTTAGGCTGGAATTGGATTCCTGGTCATGCATCAGCTCACCCTGCTCACTTAGGTATCTCTCAGAAGTCTCCACCATGCGCTGCATCTCGACAACCCTCCGCATGACTTCCTCATTGCGCGCCTCAACCAATCCGTGATATCCATTAGTCTTTCCCGTGTCCTCGAGAATTTCCATCGCCATCACGCTGTGCAGATCGAAGCCGAATTCATCCTCCCCAATCGGCGGGCTCTTGTGGTTGTTATTCGATAGCGTGCTGTTCATATTCCTGTCGCAGTTGTTGGGATGCTCGCCCACCTTCAGGGCTGCGCTGATGATCTTGGTGGAATGGTATGGAGGCGGCATGGAGAATGCCATGCTAAACGATCGACCGGGCGACGTCGGAAGGTAACTCCAGGCTGTCGGGACCACCGAATGCTGCGAGAGATAGGGCGGAGCGATGTCCTCAATCACAATCTCTCGCTCCATCTCCATATTTAGCTCCTTGCCCGTGGCTAGGCGATAGTATCCGGCCAGCACCAGGGCGAACTCCACCGCATCCCGATCCTCCATGAAGAATGTGACCAGACGATCTGGCTCCATGAACACCACCACTGAGTAGGAGATCTCATCTTCTTTGGTAACAATCACCCGTATGAGCTCCTCGAGGTTGCAGATGGGCTGTGGCACTGAATTCCTCACGCCGGCGATCTGGCTGAGGCCGAATCGCGGGCTGACTAGAAGGACGCGCTCGACGCCATCGCGCTGGTTCGTGCTGAAGCACTTGGCGCCGTAGCTGGGCAGGCCGGATATGATGTCGAGATAGTGGAGCTTGGCCTGGAGCTGCGTCAGCATCTTCGAGGAGCCCGTCATCTGTGTGTTGAGCTTGAGGAAGTGGCTTATGAGGCGCCGAAGCTCCTTTCTCTTCATGCCCTCAATGAGGGATGTAGGCACAAATCTTTCCAGTCCAAATTCTCGTCTGCAGAAGACAGAGATAATATGACAAGCATGAAGAAAATTCAATCTTGTTGAAACACTGCACTCTATTCATAATGCTGAGATAGAAGCTATATGAAGTGGGCAAAGCGGATTCATACTCACTCTACGGTTTTAACAGTCAACTTTGCTGGTGAAATGTTATTGGCCAGGGCGTGCTGGTGCATGTGAAGTGCCGCCAAACGGAGAGCCACATCCGGTTGCAGTTCTGGCGCAAATCTCTCTTGTGTCACATCATTGCAGCACTGCATGAAGAGGTAGTCGAGGGAGTTGAGGTCTCGCTGAGCCAGTTCAGCAGCTGACACCGGAACGAACGTCACTCGGAAGAGGCAGCGCAGTTTGTGTGCACCAGGCCGTGCAGCAATCTTGGGGTAGGTGGAAGAAAAAAAGCAAACTTAGAGAGAGTCTCTCGACTGCAATGGCGACGATGAGAGTGTGTGGTTCACAAAAGAGCTTCCCCTGGAGGTAATTTACTTAACAACCGCCCATCCAGTGTTCACATGCAAAGTAATTTAATCCCAGTCGCCCCATCAGGGCTCCATATTGAGAGGTAATCAGATCCCGTGATTATTTTAATGCCGAAAAGCCACACTCACCCTAACCAGTGTCTCCTGTGGATCCAGCAGCGTCAACTTGTTCCTCTTCAGGCTCTTCACGTGCTCCAGCACCAGGCTGAAGTGCTCACCGGAGCTCAAGCACAATTTGTCCCTCAGCGACGTCACGACGTCCTTTTATTTGGCACAAAAGAGATCACATGGTATCAGGTTAATTAATTACCCCATCGAATAATATATGCGGTAAACATATTTTCCCCAAAAGGGATTACCGCAATATTTCTTGTCGCATATCACATTACCTGAACGGTGGTGGTGGCGTCATATTTGAACGATTTCGTTTGACCGTTTTCCAGGAACACCTTCAGCACATTGGCCATGGGAGGGACACACAGATCGCCCAGTGAAAATGCTGACGGCTGTTTTTGTGGGGTGAGAAATTAAAGTACATATAAGTGATAATGCGCGCTGTTTCACTGCTTGTACACGATAAAATGATGAATTTCAGGGACGCGCTATACCAATAAATGTTATGAGAAATAATAAAACAAACATATAACGCAATTTCGAACCATCGACCAGCAAATTGCGACAAGCCGAAAGCTCCAAATTGAGAGGTTCTCCTCTCATCGCCATGAAATGTCATTTCAATTCATCATCATTTGATATCTCTTCGCCAGGGCGAAAAGACCAAAAAAAAACACCCCCGATTATAGGTCATACAGTCATCACTAATTCACGATAACGTGGGAAATGGATTACATTTCCCCCGCCGCCATGATATTCTAATACACATTCGCGAGGACTCCGCAAAGGAGAGCACGCGTGAGGGTGGGATTCTCACCGTGAGCCTCTCGAAATGTTAAGCCGAGTTGGAGGGGATTATGTAACATTACCCAAGATAAAGATTGTGATAAAATCCTCATGAAGTACATGGATGTGCACAAGCATTCTAAGGATTTCATGATACCCTTCAAATTTACCCATCTTCCTTGCAGTGTGTGTGTTGAGTAAATTTAAAATTTAGTAGGGTTTCCTCGATGAGATATAGTGTATGCCTTTAGGATATCCTACCAAATTACATGCTCTTCTAAGTAGTGAAATTATAATGGGAAAGCCTTCGAGATTGCTACTTAGACGTTCCGGAATGCCATTTGATTTTCCCCAATTGCTTGCGCTTCACTCTCAATAATCATATTCGAATATGGAATGTTCACTCACACACCAAAATAATCTGATAAGCGTATACTCAAATATAATCTTATATCCAGACAATTGTAGCTTTGACTCTTGACCTCGTACTTGACGCTGAATGCCGTGCATTTGAATGTTGTCGGAGCTTTAGAAAAATACACTCCCACGTCGTCGAGAAGGCGTATAATCCACAAGAGATGCGCCCCAAAACGTGCAGAAAATGTCTCATCTGACGAGACACGACCACTTTTGATCATTGGCGTTGGCGTAATGGTATTAATTTTACGGTTTGATGGAATTTATACATGTTCAACGTGAGTGAGTGGTATTGTAGTGGCAGAAGGACAGAACACGTCCTTATCGCATTAGCGAAAGGGAGAGAGAGAAAAGTGAAGAGTCCAGAAGAAGGACGTTGACTTGGAAGTTATGGACAGACACAACAATCACGAGTGGACTTCTTTCCTTCTGTGCTGCCCCCGCAAAAGTGCAGAGTGGCGGCAAAAAGAGAAGCACTGAGAATGCCACATCTCGGCTCGTCGTCCTGAATTTCCAAACGCCCTGCGAAAGCCACCCCTTTGTCACCACACATACACACACTTCATCCATGAACATGAAGAGCCGATAAAACAATGATAAATGACCGTTTCCGGAGAGTATCTATAAATTTTTTCCTCGCCATCGTTTATTTTCTCCTCCAGCCACCGAAAATTCTGACGGGGATTATCAATCATTAGTTTTATTGCATTGTGCGAGGGAAGGTGGGTGGAAAAAATTAAATTCCACACTAAATTAACTGTAGCCAGAATCTGGTAATGAGATTGTTAGGAGTGTTGCATATAAATGTGATGCTAATTAATGAGACTTTCTCGCAAAACTTTACCACCCAAGATGAGGAACACCGAGAAGAAACCTGGGGAATTTTCGCAAACAATGAAGTTGTTGTCTCAAGTTTTCCTCCCCGGGCTTGTGCGGAAATGGGGATGATGATGGGTGGTGAAAGGCGCGGGAAATGGTCCAAAAAATCTCCCACACCATTTGCACAAAATACTCCGCTATTTTTCACCTGGTGTTCTTAGTGCAGAAAAAATGTTTTGCCTTTTTCATCCATCACCCAAGCATTTTCCCCGCATTGAATTACTTATTGTTGTTCTTCTTAATCTTCCGCACTTTTCCACTTTGCTCCATCAAAAGACTGTATCAACATTTTTATGTTCTCCACGTCGGCGGTTTGTGGAGCGGGAATTAAATTTATTACCAGGTACGACTGAATCAATTATCGCACAGAGCACAATTCCACCACCGACTTACATTACACTTTTTCCCTCGCCGGGTGGGAAAATCAAACGGCGGGAGGATAATAATGTAGTTTCATTAATGACAATAGCAGGTATTTCAGCACCTTTTCCCTCCCTCTCATTCTGTCTGGTGAATATGCAGTGGCAAATCCAAAGTGATTCTCCACATTTGCGAGACTGTAACGTGCACTTTATTGCCTTTACAACCATTTCAGTGACTTTCACACAAAATACCACCCTTCTCCCTGGGGTGTGCTATTGAGGGATGTAGCTACATTGCACCTCAGCCCCGTAAATTCACTCCCATGATGACAGCCTCAATGAACACAAATAATACACACAATATTTTTCTCCTCTTCCCATGGGGATGATTTTCCTGCACCAACTCTCGGCAAATGCTCACGAATATTGCCACAGAGCCAGAAAGCTGTATTTGATAGTGGCATAAATCTCTGAATTCTCCACTTTAGATAGTTTCTACGGAAAGTTGGAAAATAGATATAATTCAATATAAGTTTATAGAAACCACAAAATGAATCATCTTAACTATTTGCTTTTCTCCAGAACGCAGTAAGATTTCAAGGCGCTTTGAAATACTCGCAAGGTAAGGAAATAAACTTAGTCTTTTGGTGACATCTTGAGAACTATATGATCGAGGGTTTCGATCGTTCACGCCTGGTTATGGTACAAGAAAAATCCTGAATATCGCGTGCGTCCAAAGCTTATCGCGCCACTTTTACTCCTCTCATATATCATCTTCCCACATAAATCTAGCTGTTATTTAAAATTATTTCTCAATTTGTAAATTTATTGTATGATTTCTCTGCCATTTTACCAATTCTCCCTCATGAAAAGAGTGCTTCACCCATATTTTTTCGCACTTAATAGCTACAGCATATTGAATTTTCTCCCCAATACGCCTATCAATTATGAGGTGTAATAAAAATCAATAATAAAATTTTACGGTTTCCGCCACTGCAATCTTTGCCACCTTACATTTTTTCCTCATCACCTCTCCTTATCGACAATCTATGCCCACATTCCGCTCCACTTTGGTGGGTCTGTGGTGGGAAATTTAATTAACAATGCGGTCACGGAGAGAATTGGGGTGGATATTGAATTTTCCGATTTTCCTCCTTCAAGTCAATCATAGGTATTTTCAATCCCCGCTCAAATCCACAATCATCTCGAGGGAATCACATAATCCTTAAGCAATCATCGCACAATTTCTTTCCCCATCGGCCAGTGGGACTCTTTCGCCTGCCACATGCGATTAATTTCCAGGGAAGACAATTGTTTACCATGATGTCGACTGAGGTGGATGAAAACGCCTCGCCTTCAGCATTTCCCACACAATTGGAGTCTAGTGCACACGGCAGAGGAACTTGAGGATTTCCCAGAGAGACAATGGCTTCACTATTCCATTTTCCATCTTCACAATCTCCGCCATGGATCCATCTAACGTGTTTTACACCACTTCATGGGGGTCTCTTTGGTGTGCTGAGTCAAAAGGGATGCTCAGGAGTTACTTTAAGTCTCTCCTAATTGTATGAAAAACCCCCCAACTTGTGCCGAACTCCCACAATGCATCGTCCCTCGCGAGGCGCCCAAAAAGTGACTAATCCACTGGCGGATGGCAAGATGAATATGCTAGTGTAGCCAGCGCGATAGGGGCACTATGATAAATATCCCTGGGTAGTCGCGTGTTGAATGAGGCCATAGAAATCATTGTTTCCCCAGTGGATTGTTTGAAACGCTATAGTTGTTGGATATTTCAGTATCCTGCTGCTATGCATTAAGAGCTCGTGATCTTTTCACCCAGTTTCAAGCCTCACAAAGGGCACACCATTTTGAATTATCCCGCGAGGGGAGTTGCTTAGCCAACTATGCAGCAATCCTTAATACAATGTCGTACGATTATGTGCCTTAACTTTCGAAACCCCTCACATTTCGGTGCTGTTTGATTCTCCATGAAAATTTTGAGAAACACTTCTACTCTCTATACCTCATTTAAAGACTATTGCTTTCAATATTTGCCCAACACAAGGCTTAAATAAACTGATTTTGCTGCTCCTGAAGCACTATATAATATAGTCAGGTTGTCGTGTATTAGTTTATTGCAGCAATCCCATCACGAACAGCGGCCCAAGGCTATTGCCAATCCCTGTACTTTGGTGCTATTATAGAGCGCAATTTATAGTCGCAAATTCGCTGATGGTGGTGAAATGTGGGGTGATTTTGGGGTGGGATAGATCAATGTTGCATTTGTCCGGATGTTGGGTGGATGAAGAGAGAGCTTAGCAGTGCGGGTGGCGAAAAAAGTATAGAAAATGTCACCACAAACCGGAAATAGCGGTGCTCCGTTCACACAGACACTTTCTGCAAAGCGAACACGGCTTGGACGTGTTCGCAATTTGGCCTTTTTCCCAGCGGACAGAAGGGTGGATTTCCTCCCCGTGGCTCCATTCACGGGTGGCTGAGTCACCAGAAGTGTCACTTGACTCTCGCATGATCTCACGAGCTGAATCACTCGGTCCCTGGGTGCATCTTTCACATCCTCCCCATTCACGGCGAGTATCTGGTCGCCGGGCTCCAGCTGCAACAATTTAATGAATTCACAATTAGTCGCCATTGTTTGCCAGAGTGGAAAATATATTATGGCCGTACTCAAGCATCTTTATCCCATTCCCATTGGGATTTTCCTTGCGATTTTCCCATTCTTTCGCTCCATTTGGGGGATTTCTTCCAGTGCACAATCAAAATGCTCTGTCTTGAAGTCTCGACACTGACATTGGGCATGAATGTTTTACGAAATGTTCCCATTAAAACTGCAGAGCTTCTAAGTGTCCAGAGACAGAAATGTGACTTTAATTAAAGGACGACTAGCAATCAATCCTGTTGCCATTTCTTAATTAGAACTAAATCCCCGCTCACTGATGGCACTCAATGGCTCCCCCAAGAAGAGCTTAGTCACTCGAACTTGTTGATGGCAAATCCCCAGGGATAATTACCTTATTTACACTGGGACCCCCTTCTGTGACGAAGCGCACTATGACTGGCTTCTCGCTGCCCGCCACGAAGCCGAACCCCATTGTGGGGCTGCGCTGAAGGATGACGAGGCGCGGCTCGGGCGGCGGCGGCGGCTCATCGCATCGATAGTAGTCCGGCGCTTCATATGTGGTGGTCTTATTGCAGTGACTGCGAGAGAAAGGAGAGAAAACACTTATCAGCAAGGGGGAGATATCTTAGGAATTGGTTAAATATTAACAATTCACTGCTTTGGATAATTTACAATTAATTCCCAATGCTTTTCTGGGTTATGTGATTGATTAAAGCACACCTAATAATGACTTCATGAGCTCTAAAAACAGTCATTCTTATGCTAAGCCGTAACAATTTGCATTTATTAGCCAGTGTTCAGCGCTACACTCAATAAAGATCTTAATTCGTAAACCTCATGGTAGTAAAAGAAAGTGCTGAAGTCAAACATAATCTCCAAACTGCCCAAGAAGAGCAAAGAATTGACGAAAGTGAAGGATTAAGCTGTGCATTCTGGGCAGATTGAAAGTGTTAAAGATTTCAGGCATACTTTTTCCTCCTAAGCATATCGATGGCAAAAGAAATTGACCTCTAAAACACCGTCGTAACTGATTTACTATTATGAGGGCGATGCCTATAATTGAAATAATGGCAGCCGAACTATGCCACAAAGTGCGGTCATTAATTATGAAAAGCATGCGGCTGGGATTTGGTAGCTAATTCAGGCATAATACACACACTCATTAGACGACTACTAATTCACTCACTTGATGTAGTACGGCCTTCCCTTCTCATCAAGCGCCTTCTCCCAGCCGTACGGCAGCTCCTCGTCGCCACCCCAGCTCTCGGCCGGCGGCAGCCACCCGGCGGTTCGTGTTATGTGACTGTAAATAATACAAAAGTGTTGCCATTAATTATTGACTCTTCCCTCACTCCGCTCGCATTTCGCAAATGGAAATCAACTCATTTGCCTTTCAGATTAATTGATCGTGTCATTTAGGCGTTCTGGGGCTTATTTACATTTTTCAGTGAGAGGAGCTCTCATGTTTTTTGATATTGCCAGCGAAATGCACTTGTTTCGCCATAAATCATCACATTTGAAATTCATATATTATGAAATTGAGACATCTCCGGAGAATATCAAAGCTCAGTGATATTTCTATTGGAAGCACAGCATCAATATTTCATCAATTTTGCACTGTTGGGAAAAAGAGAAATTTTGTCTGCAGATATCCAATACATAATGCATGTAATACTTTAAGGCGCTTTCCAGAGGTATTATCATTAGGAAGGAGCGCACCTTGGGGAGCATTCGAATTTTATCACTGAAAATACTACAATTATGCTCGAGTATTAAATTTAAATATTCATCAAAATGTGCCATATCAGCGCAACGTGCTTCAAAATCAGCACCACTGCAAACTTCTCTGGATTTCTTCGGGCTCCTTGTTTCATCCCTGCCAGTCGACAGGGGAGAGTGAATCCCTTTTCACGTTAGATCACATTTTCCCAGTGTAATCCTGTTTGGGTGTAGAATGTGGCAAATGAAATTGTGTGTTGAGGAGCAGTGAAAAATGGCGAGGCAAAGAGATTGAAATATCATGATAAAGAAAAGTGTTGTTTTGAAGTTACGCGCGACTGTATGAAAAGGGAATTCACACTTTTGGTTAATTAAACTCCCACTGAACAAGGAGGAGAGTGGAAGACAGCCAAGGAATTATGATGAAGGAATCAAGAGTGTTTCAAGGCGGGAAGGCGACAAAGAAAACATTTTGTTCCGCGCCTTTTCATAATAGCATTTCCATGTGAAAACATTTGAATTCACGGAGTTGGAGAGATTCCGTCTTCACACTGGCGAAGAATGGATCTCGCAATATCTCAGCGAAACAGCCTGACGAATCAATACACAAAAGGAGGCGAGTCGTCAAACAGAGCGTAAATCTCCTTGTGCAAAATTAATTTCAATGCATTCATTTTAATCCATTTATCACTCTGTGCCTCACACAACGAATTACACACATACACATACAGACATTAAGTGGAATTCGAGCAGTTTTTCAAAGATTTTCCAATTCCTTTGATAGAAAATTGAAAACATGCGAAACTTCCGCACCCCAAATTTCTGAGGCCATGAAGGGCAAATGTGGTGAAAATGTAGCCTAATCCGGATTTCTTTCGACATAAACACACCGGAGGAAAATGGTTTTTCATCAATTTTCCAGTGAAAACATCCCCAAGCTCACCCTCATGCAAATGGATTTGGTAAGATTTCACTCCTCTATCAACATGTTGATGCCGAAACCTATTTCAAACTCATGAGTGTTAGAGTAAATGATAAGTTTCACTTGTGGAATGCCTCAACAATTCAGGTGGAAGGCACCAGTTTTGCAGACGGAGTTCAATCCCTGGCAAAATAGGAAGAACATCGAAATTGCTTCTTCCTTCGTCTGTTTGCACTGAAAATTCAGACACACATTCGTGAAAATATCTTTCTCTTTCCGTACACTTTGACTATCATGTGTGCTTTCCATCTAATTCGATGGTAATAAGAATGTTTTTATATCATCACACTCATCCTTCATGTGTTTCTTCACTCACTTCAATCAACTTATTCCGTGGAGGCAAGCAATGGAGGGATCAGAATCGATCCGATTGAATGATAACACTTTTCCAAAGTGTCATAGGGAAATGCATCATATCTCATGTCATAACACTAACAAGACGCAAGGAAACATTCTTACCTGGAGGAAAAGTTTCCTCCACCCTCGAAATTTCCATTCTTCTGAGACATCTTCCCCGTGACTTCTTTTCCCTTTTTCAACGTCTGCCTGTCTAGTGCTCTTCCCCTTTTTATTCCCAGGAAAAGCGCCAACGACCGCAGGGAAGCGCAAAGGCATGAACGAAGGGACTGTGAAATGTCATAGTGCTTAGAAAAATGTCATGTGAAATGTCTGCGGCACCAAAAAGAGAAAAAAGAGGAGAAAAAAGAATAATTTTATTTATTTATTATCGCTATCTTGGGATCCTTGGGCGAGACATACAAAGGAAGAATGTCAACGTAGACGCAGAATTTATGCTCTCACATCATAATTATTTCAATTTCCCGCTCTTGCAAGTATTCCGAGCATTTTCGTAGTATTAATTTTAATTAAATATGCAGCATTCTTCTTCAGCACACACGCCCAATCTGAGAGCACATGGGCTCCCACATGAGAATCGCTGTTCTCACAGTATTCCCTTCGAGGCATGAGCATACTGAGCGCGACTGGTGTTTTGGGAAGGTAAAGTCAAGAAGGGCGCTTTATTTGAACCGCCCCAAAACCGCTCTGCTCCGCTCTAGACGATTGGATAATTTACTACGTGGGTTATGTCCTGTCAAGTAACATAAATAATTCAAAATTTGTGTGTCCTTGTCGGAGGCTCTCATATAAATTATATGATTTTAATTCGCAATTGCTCAGAGATTTACTGCGCAGCAAGCGAGTGTGATGTATCGCGCGGTGGTAGTTTGGCTGAACAAGGAGTGATTGTGATTCCTGGGCCTACGCAACATGTCCAGAGGGTGGCAAATGGCAGCACTTCAAACGGAAGCTAGGATGCGAGCACGGGACTAAACTGTTTATTGCATGGGGGCCTCATTTATTTCTCGATGCCTCGGGGGTGACGTGAAATTCTGTATGATAATGGCTTGAATATTTTAATGTGTGCTTTTTGCCGCTTTCGTCGAGTCACTGTGCGAAGGGCTTTCGACACGCTTCATGATGGATTAATAGGCAGACAAGGTGTTGCTGGCATTTATCTTCATATCTCTCATCCCCACGTGTGAACACAATCGCACAGAATTCTCTCTTCTATATAATGCCATGTGAAAATGCCACTCAAATCTCCCTCTAGAATTTGTCTCGCACTGTAATTAATTTCTACAAAACAAAACAAACACATCTTCCCAAACCTCCGAGAGTGTGTGCAACTTTCTGGAAGCTCTGTGTAAATATTTTTCACAGATCCTTCATGTTAGTGTTTACTCTGAAAATTCACAATCTCTGACCTTCCATTTCCTCCACTCTCTGCCACTTTTTCCACACGTCGTCTGGGAGAGATAAAAATTCTATACACACACACCTTTTGAGCCTTTCTTCGGCATATTGCAATGATTTGATAACACTTTCCCATTGACTCGCAATGAAGGGTGAAATATTATTCTCCGTATATATATTGACAGTGCAAATTTACCCACTTTATGTATTGAAGAAGGACAAGCCATTAAGTAAATATTAAGTTCAGCACTTTACTCTAGTTGCACCGCTGAAAAATTTAATTTTTCCATTTTCTTCTCTCTCTCTCAGAATACACTATATAATTGTTGCAAGTTGATGTAGTGTTGATAGCGATAGGTCTCTTCCTTGTCGATATTTTCCACTGCTTCTCTTCTGCACTTTCCCACCCCTCCTTCCGGATAGCACACTTCTGGTGCACCCTCAAAAGCGACAGGCGAACTCCATCCATTCTCCCCTGAGTACACGAGAATTGCATTCACTGGAGAATGTATATGCACATCGCCTTTGGGCGACGATGCACACACACACATTTTATTTCACCATGAATAGATTTTATTGTGTCTTTTTTTTGTAGTGTATGACAAAAAGAAAGAATTTGTAGCAGAAACAGTGGCTCTACTTCCACTCCATGCCTCATTTTCCTCATCTGAGCACCACATAAAATATCAGAACAATGTTATTTTCAGGCTTTTGCCTTTCATAACTTCTCCATGGATAAATTTTATATATTAGGGGCTTTTTAGAGGTAGGAAAAAAAGCTGCCTAAAAGGATTTAACAAGATTATAGAGTCTCTCTTTTCCCTCCATTTTCCACTCAACTCACACTCTCTTAATCTTCGTGTTCACAGAGAATACAACACGCCGTATAAAGGGAAATTTATTCAAGATCCAGTTGGTAACCCTTAATTTGTGAAGAGTTGCGGATGAAAATGAAAATACACGAAAGCCACTTCCTTGCCAAAGTCGCACATCCTTATAATGTTGCCCGTCGCAGACATACCTTTCCCTTTTTATTGCCATATTTCTCGAGAGCATTCTGCAAAGTCTTCTCTCTCACTGGCACTTTTTCTATGTGCCAACAAATTTCGTGCAAAGTGAATTTAAATTCACAAGACCGTCCCTAAAGCAAAAGTTTTCCGCAAGAATTTCTACTTCTGCACTGCAGTGGATTTTTCTTCGGAAAATATCCTACAATTCTCGCTACATTATCAAATTTGTGGACGTAAAAATGCAAATTGATATTTAAAGTCGTATCGTCTGATGGTGTTTGTATAATTACAAAATGGCATTTCATTATATAGTTTTCTTTCAGCAACTTCACAGGAAGCGCACAAATATTGGGTTTCTGAGCGAGGGGAAAGAGGCGCACATTTCATCACGATATGTGTGTAATTTGGCAAGGATACGTCTGTGAACTTTTGAGCGGGTGCAGACGAGGCATTCAACGACCCCCGCGAGAGTATGAATTACATCCCCAGTGCGAATGTAAGCGAAATTGTGTGAGCCCCAATCCACGAACATGATATTATTTTAATTTAATGAAAGCTATTTGCATCAATGTTACCAAGTTGTCTGCCGCGAAGTTATGCCTCTTGTTTTCTTCCTCCCGCGCTTTGCAGTCGCGAATAAGAGGAATTTAATTTGACTAATGACTTTTTCGTCGCCGTGAAAATAGCGGCTTTATGCCGTATTTGGCTTCATTATGCAACATTGTGCGAAATTGTTCGCCGAACAAAAGTACAGCCCTTTAGGCATGAAATATCTCCATAAATACACCCAGGATCAGAGCGATGCTTCCGAGGACGCGCGCGAGTGTCTGTGAGGCC